ATGGTCACTACTACAGGGTGGGGGCAGCTTCTAAGATATCCTACTAATATAATGAGTTGTCGTATCTCCGACTGTCTCTATACAGCTATACCGTAAGCTACTCCCCGCGGCCCTATGTTAGCTGCTAAGGCACCTAAATGACGTTGTTTGCCTTGTCCGGAAGTTTGACATTCGTGATGTCGGAGGGCTCCAAGGGTGCAGATTCTTGCGTTTTTGGGCAGAAAGACCATAGTTTACGCGTTTTTGTTGAGCCATGTTGAACGTCAGGGTCGGTTGAAGTTGATGTATATCGGTTTCCGCAAACCATTCACTGTATATCTGTAAGCCTCGCACTTGGTTGCCTTTGTCTAATCGAGTGGGCCTGAATAGAAATCCTTGGGGCTCCTTATTACATGTTTGTACATATATGTATGCAAATAGAATATATATATATATATATACATATATATACATATATATATTTATTTATTTATATTTATACACAGAAGGTATACACACCCACACACACCTTTTTGACATATCTCCCAAACCCTATCCTAAACAATAAGGCCTCCACACTAACTGGGTGAAAGCCTGTCCGAATGTGCCTCAAAGGCTGCTCCCTTCGCGGGGTCGGGAGCCCCGGTGCCCAGGGTTGCGTGTATAACCAAGAGACTCCAAAACCCCTTAATTAAGGAATATACCTTAAATCATATTAGGGATCTTAATATAATTTAAGGTATATCCCTTAATTAGGAGGTTTTGGAGTCTCTGGGAGGGTTAGGGGTTTATGAGACAGGGTTAAGGGTTACTTTCTACTCTATTGGTCCCAATTGGAGAATCGATCAATCCCTATCTCCACATCCCACCCCTGAACCCTTAAACCCCAATCTCTGAACCTCCCTGGCTTCCCCCTCTACCCTGAACCTGCCCTCTCAACTTGGGGGTAGGGTTTAAGGGTGCGTGGTAGTTACAAGGATTCAAGGGCTTCCTGTTCTTGTAGTGTTCCCGTATAGAGCATTCTATACAACTTGATACAGAGTTTCTACGAGAACCCCTGCCAAAGAAGTGGGTTATAGTAGTTTGAGCGAACCTTGTCCCTTGACAGTCGCTCTCCAGCGTTGCATGGTGTAGCCCCCCAAAAGCCCTTTACCCGAAACCTTAAGGACGAAATGAACCCTAAACGGGTTTAGGGTTCATATACCATATATGAATTCGAGTATGTGTATGTATATATATATATATATATACATATATATATATATATATATACATACATACATACATACATATATGTATATATATATATATATATGGGCACGGAACCCCTAATTACAGGATCATTTGGACGCCCAAGAATCCATCAACCCTTCGTCTCAGGTCGGCACATCGCAGCATGGGGCTGTCGATGGGCCGATGTTCACTGTCAAGGAGCCGACTGACCTCTATGGGTGGTGTCCTCAAGGCTTTAAGCCGTTGCATATGCACAACACATGTATATATATATTATATATATATACACATTTAAATATGTACATTGCACACACACATATATATATATATATATACATATCAAGACTCCTAAACCCTCAAACCCTGAACCCCCAGCCTGAGCCCACGCAAGCCAAGGTACAGGGGCCCTCAACAAACTAAAACAAAGTGAGCCCAGGCACCAGCGAAAAAGAGTATTCCCAAGGCACCAGACATGGTAATTCCTAACGGTCCATGTACCAGGACCCCCCAATGGCCCTTGAATGGAGCCCTAATAGCCCTTAATTGTAGTCGTTTGGGGTATATTAGAGGGTGGTTGAGGGGTCTAGGTACCCAAATAGTATATACTTTGGCCTTGAAGTATTCCCTATGTAGGTACATTGAGCCCAAAGTATGTACTATTTGGGTACATGGATCTTTCGGGAATGCGAAATAGAAACGGTGAATGCAAGTCGGCATCTCGAAAGGAGCACATCGTCCTCCTCTCGGAGCATCTTGGCATCCCATGGGGAAGCTCCAGGCTTTCGGCAAAAGGTTTACGGACTTAGGGTCTTTGGGTTTACCTTAACCCTGAATAACCTACCTTTTTAGGGTTCCCTATTTTGATTTCTTTATATAAGCCCTGAAAAATCTAGGTTCTTCAGGGGCTAAGGTAGGGTTTAGGTTAGAGCTTTGGGTTTCGAGTCTGGAGTTTAGGAGTTTTCAGTTTTAGGGCCTTCGAGAGGGATGCTCAGGGGTTCTGTTGGGGCTTGATAGGCGGTTCTCTTGGAGCTACAAAAAGCCTACAAGGGCTTTAGGATGGAAGCACACCTGCCCATATATACGACCATCATGCACCCGGGACCTCGAAGACCGTCCCTAGCAGTTTGTGACCTAGTCCGTGATGGTAGGTAGCCCTGTGCGAGTCTCGCTAGAGCTTGTAGATTTGAGGCTTGGGTTTTACGGTTTGAACCCCAAGGGTTCATGGATGATCATGATAGTAGGTAGGTTCCCAAAGCGTCCAAATTTCCTATGTAGTAGAATTTAGGGTCTCCAAATTGGGAATTGCTATTATGATTTTGGCAAGTATCCCCCATAACCGTACCTGGGACCCTTTGGGGTTATTTCGAGGGGCCAAGCTCTAAACTAGACGCAGAGATTGCAGGGCTTGCAGTTCGAGAGCCGCGCAGCAGGATGGACTTCCCGAGCGACGTTGACGTTCGGATCGAGGTTGATAGTTATTGTAGGGGCCTTAATCATAATTATTAAGCAACCCCCAAAAAAGAAAAGGTAACTATTGAGGCCCCTAATGATTCAAAGTTCAAAGTACAAAGGCCCTTGGTGTTTTGGTCTGTTGGTGTTGGCTAGGGTGAGTTTCATAGAGATCTCCACAGCACGCGTTTACTCTTTTTCAATCGGATGTAGAGGTCACGTTAATACCTAACCCTAAGGGTCCATGTACTCATATAGTATATACATTGGCCTTAAAGTACTCCCTACATAGGTACATTGGGCCCAAAGTATATGCTATATGGGTACATGGACCCTTGAGGTAAAGTACACGCACATTGACATCGAGGCTTGTTTCACCAGGCCATGCACCGCAAACCGTTAAACCTCAAGCCCCAAGCGATGTCTCAAAATTCGTGGGCCCTCAGAAGGATGCTAAACAGCAGGAGTCAATGCGTTTCAGAAGGACCTCGAGAATGCGCTTGTTTCCCACGCCTGAGGGTTTTATGTGGTTCTTGTGTTGTTTTGTTGGGTTTATTTGCTGTGCTTTGTAGGTGGTAGGACGAGGATGTTTGACGTTCTTAGTTTCGGGTCTACTGCGAAGGGGTAAAAAGCTCAGCGGAGCACAAGTGGGTTTCACTTTAAATGGTGGTCAGTGTAGATAAGGATCTTTGTGTTGGGGGTATATGATTCGCATACCCTATTTTCTGAAAGTACCATGGGGAAGCTTTAATTAAGGCATCCGCAACACGTGCCACAAAGCATGACGGCCGAGGCATTCTTGGCAACCTGGCTTGAGAAGGTAGAGCATGTTTTCGGTAAAGGGTCCCTGCGTAGCGGTCGGCAATGCTGCTTTACCATTTCTAGATTGGGAGCAGGTGGGCGAGTTAAAAGTTTTGCAGGCGGCTGCTACTACCACTACTACTGCTACTACTGCTACTACATCCTACTACCTACTACCTACTACCTACTACCTACTACTTATTACTACTTACTACTACTACTACTACTACTACTACTACTACTACTACTACTACTACGACTACTACGACGAGTACTACTACTACTACTACTACTACTACTACTACTACTACTACTACTACTACTACTACTACTACTACTACTTACACTACTACTACCACTACTACTGCTAATACGAACTACTACTACTACTACTACTACTACTACTACTACTACTACTACTACTACTACTACTACTACTACTACTACTACTACTACTACTACTACTACTACTACTACTACTACTACTACTACTACTACTACTACTACTACTACTACTACTACTACTACTACTACTACTACTACTACTACTACTACTACTACTACTACTACTACTACTACTAAGTATTTCTTCTTATCACGGACACTAGGATCACTAGGACGAATGCGAGGGTAATTAATCGTTTTGTCGATATGGATTTCAGGGTTTCGGCCGGTGCAGCCTTTGGGCGTTGGGTCTGTCACGAGTTACGTAGCTTGCTTTTTTGTTAGCGCAATTTCCAGGGCGCCATAGCTACCGTGTGGCAGTTCCGTGGAGAACGAAGTATGTATATCTGCAGCCTGAAACCAGAAGAAGAGTGAGTAGATCATGACCCACAACTGCAATGCAAAGCCCACAAAACTGTAGGTTATTGGATGCACAGCAGTTTTATTGATCAGAGGCGTACATTATACATCGCCCGAACCACAGGTCCAACCTTGCAGATAGGCGGGTCCTGAAGGGAAGCGAAGAAGATCGCGGCTCCTTGAAGCATCGACATGAATTACCCGAAGGGTTCAAGTATCTTATTATCATAGACTCTCCAAAATCCTGACCTACATAACTACTATCCCAAGCCCGAGTACCTAATTACTGGGTCCTTTGGACCCTTGCATTTATTATTCTGAGGGTTCATGTAGCCATACAGCATCTACTTTGGCGCTCAAGTAGCTGCATGGGGACTGCTTTAAGCTCGAAGTCGTTTCTGTATGAGTACATGGACTCATGGACCATTGGGGTGAAGTGTAGGGAATGGGAGGGGGATGGGGCGAGGAAGCAGGAGCGCGAGAGGGACAGGGAGGGCGAGAGAGGGAGCGAGGGAGCACGGGAGCGGGAGGGGGAGAGGCGGAGAGGGGGTGAGAGGGAGAGACGTGGAGGGAGGGCGGGAGGGAGGGAGGAGAGGGAGAGAGGAGTCTGCCATGTGCTGGAGTTGGATGTAGGGTGCAGGGTGTGGGGCTTTCGTGGTTTGTCGACTTGGACCCTGTAGGCTTTTAACTTTAAGGGTCAGATCTTGGGCATGAACCAAGGTGCTACCAGAGGCATGAAGATCGCAGCGGCGAGCCCTGTCAACGATGGCAAGCAGGCACATGCAACACGATACTCTACTCTTTGGATCTCTTTTGGGTTGGTTTTTTGGCTGCCTTAGAGTTCAGGGCTTCAGGGTATGCTGTGCGGACTCGGGATGGACTCGGGATGCGAGCACGGACTTGGGGCGTGGAGTCTGCAACTTGCTCTGGGGCTCTCGTGTGAGAAACACTCATTTATGCCGCAGCTCACGAACCCCGAATCGGAAGTCTTGAACGAATAGTTACCCAGAGATTCCAAAATCCCTTCATTAAGGAATGTACCTTAAATCATACCAGGATCCCTAATATGATGTAAGGTGTATTCCTTCATGAAGGGGTTGCGGAGTCTCCGGGACCCTAAACCCTAAACCCTTAAACTAAACACACGAACTTTACACGGCTGACCAAGTCCCAACTCTAGCTTTCAGATTGCCACAAAAAACTGATGACAGTTACTTTCCCCAAGAGTCCAAAGGACCCAATCAGGGTTTAGGCCTTGAGGGGTTCAGGGTTTAGGGTAATTATAGGGTTTCCTATTCCTTTCCCCAAGGGTCCAAAGGATGCAATGATCAGGTACGTGGGTTAGGATAGTAGTTATGTAGGTTAATATTTGGGAGAGTTTATGATTATTAGGCACATGGACTCTTAGGGTCTTTCGTCTTCAACACATCATCAAAGCTGTGTAGGATTCATATATGGATCTGAAATTTGGTAGCTATTCCTAATGGTAATCTGTAAACCATCACTTGGTCGTAGGTTTTGCGTTTTGGGGTTTAGGTTTGTGCTTAGGGTCTTGTAGGCTCAAAGGAGAGCTGATTGTGGATTCGTGTGTAGAGATTTGAACGATCCTTGTTTGCCATGCAGCATAGATTAGAACTGAAGATAAACATGGTGGCACGCCACAGGTTGACATTGAGTTTGCCGACAACACAGCGTACAGATTCCACACGGCGTGGATCAAGGAGAGGTTCATGGGACTTAGCAACTATGGTTATAAACATCATGTCGCTATAGTCAAAATTACTTAGAGCTCTGATGAAGATACTTATGACCTTACTTACCATGCCGTTTACTATGGTTGATGGTATAAACCCTGCATTACCTTAATGACCCCAGACTAATGGAATTATGGTACATTCCTCTTTATGGGTGATTCGGGATTTGTATCATCAACCGCAGCCCCCCTGATCCTCCAAGTGGGGCATGTGCTGAGAACTGTAGTTCTCCTATGCTGCTGTTGAACCCCAAGAGTCCAAAGGACCCAATAATTAGGTACTCGGTTTTGGGATAGTAGTTTTGTAGGTTGTGATTTTGGAGAGTATATGATTATCAGGTACTTGGACCCTTGGGGGAAGGCAACACCTACCCTGTGGCTCTAAATCCGAAAACCTTGCATGGTTTATCCCGCTTCGGGTGTTTACCATACGTAAACACCGACCCCAAAATCCTCCACCATTTGCCCCGAAGTGTCTGGGTTCGGTAGATAAGCTGGAAGAATCTCGCAAAAAGCCAGCGGTATTCAGGAAGTTTTCTTGTAAGACTATCAGGCTGCATGCCCCAGCCAAGGCACTAGAGCTGAAGGAACCTAGTTCTCATCATCAAGGCCCCCACTTGGAGGAGCATGGGACTTAGGAACTAGGGTTATAAAGAAGGTAACTGTACTAATGAGTTAGGGTACTTATAACCCTACTTACTAAGTCCCATGATCCTCCAAGTACAAAAGCTCGAACTTGCGGAGGACTCTCATCCGAGCCTCATCGGTAACGACTTCTACCGCAAGTCGGTCCGCGCCTGCAGATGTAGTACAGGGTTTAGATACCCTAAGGGTCCAAACGACCTAATAATTAGGTACTCGGCTCTAGGATAGTAGTTATGTAGGTTATGATTTTGGAGAGTATATGAGTATTAGGTATTGTGACCCTTGGGGCCAAAGCCCTAAACAACGCTTCAAGAGCCCTGCCAGCTTTGCGTTGCCTTGTTTTATCGGGCTGAGTCCGCCTTGCAAAAAAAAGGGGGCGCGACTGAAGCTGGTGTTATACCACCTACTTAGAGGATCATGGGACTTAGTAACTAGGGATATATCTAAGGTAACTATACTTAGAACTCCAATTAGAGTACTTATAACCTTACATACTTACTAAGTCCCATGATCCTCCAAGTAGACCCCCCAACTACCCTCTAATATACCCCAAATACCTACAATTACGGCCTCTTCGGGCTCCATTACAGGGGGGGAGGTCCTGGCAATGGTCCATCGTTAAGAGTCTACTGTAAGGGTGCCTGAATGTGGCAATTGCGAATACCATCCCTACACTAAAAGGCCTGAAGGCTAAAAGGGTTTAGGGTTTAGGGTTCAAAGTTTCGGTCTTAGGATTTGAGCTTTGAAGTTCAAAGCTCAAATCCTAAGACCGATAAGGACGCATCATACAATGGGGCGGTGGGCCTGGGGGTGTTATGATCCACATCGGTAGTTATCCAGCTTCCTGTGCTGCAGCACAAACATCCTGAAACCCAAAGCCTATATGGGAGTTTCCGAAAATTAAGGGTACCGTATTTTGGGGGCCTCATAATAAGGATCCTAGAATTTAGGTACTATATTAGGGTCCCCTATGTTCGGAAACTCCCATATGAACCCGAAGCCTCGAACCCTTCACCCGTAAACACCAACAACATCGCCACAATGTTCTTTCCCAACCCGCCCCCCCTAAAAAAATCAAAATCCAAACAACAACAACAACAACAACAACAACAACAACAACAAACGCCCTCCCCCTTCACAACCCAAAAACGCTAAATTCCCAACTCAAGGCCAAGACGCTTTTTGAGAGCGATCAGTACACCGTCGACAACGCCCTTCCTACGTCGGATGGTTCGAAGCTGCAGGCCCCGGTTTAGGGTTTTAGGGTTTTGGGGTTTAGGGTTCGGGGTTTTAGGGTTTAGGGGTTTAGGGTTTGGGGTTTAGGGTTTCGGGTTTAGGGTTTTGGTGCTCCCTTAGGCGAAATTTGACCCTAAGGCTCAAAAAGGCTCAAAAACGCACAAAAAGGCCCAAAAGCCCTATATAATATGGTCTTTAGGCCCAAAAGCCTTAAAGATATGAGCCCTTAGAGCCTTAGGGTTTGGGGCTCCTTCAAGCGAGCTTTGAGGGACTAGATGGGATTCGGGCTGACGCAGATTTGGGGACTTAGGGTTTGTTTAGGGATTGAGGGTTTAGGGTTTAGGATTGGGGGGTTTAGGGAGTCAGAAATGTAGACTTTAGCATAGGGTTTCGGGATTTAAGGGTTTAGCAGTTTAAGAGATTAGGACTGGGTTGCAGGGCTTTGAGGGCTCGCTAAGAGTCTAGGATGGAGGTTCTGGAGCGTAACAGAGTCCGGGGTCTTCGACTCAGGCCTAATATCTCTAGAAGGTTTGGTTTAGTTTAGTGGGGGGTACCATATATATATATATATATATGTGTGTGTGTGTATGACTCTATATGTAAGCATACAGTAATCGTGGCAGTATCTAATCCTTGCAATATGTCGCCGCATGGCGAGTGATTAGAGCCTACTATAGCCCTGAGATTGCTGTATACCTCCTCAAGTATCGAGCATGATATACCCAAACCTCTGCCCTATCAAAACCGCCGCAAGACACATGCACACCAATCCGCCCGGTTTTCCAAAGCACCAGTCAGCTCCCCAACCCGACTGGTAAGGCTCAAAATAGCCGAAAATAGCCGAAACGATCCCAACAGCATTTGTTGGTATGGCTTAGTCGTAGAGTGGGTAACCTGTAGCCATCTTGGTGTGCTATCATCCGTATATAACCTCCAAGATTGACCTTTTCTTGTTTTCGGTACTGGACATGTAGTATGGTCTTTGGGCCCAAACGCCTCAACGTATGTGTCCTTGGAGCCGTAGGCAAACACTGAACCCAGAGACTCCAAAACCTTTTAATTAAGGAGTATACCTTAAATCACATCAGGGATCCTATGATTATTTAAGGTATATTCTTAATCCCTTATAGAACCCTTGTAATTAGAATTAGATGCCTTTAAGGAACCCTCAAAGGGTGCATATCTTAACTAAAAGGTTTTGGAGTCTCTGGGAATATCTGGCTTGTATCAGGCCCATGCGCCCTCAAAGCTTCGCGTACCGAGAACTACAACTGTAAGACCTTAAGCTAGAAATCCTCGACAGTTCCTAAGGATCTACGGACTCACGTTTCTTAAGCTATTTTTGGCCCAAAGACCATGCGATACGAGGATTGTGGGCTATTATATCGAGCCTTGGGGACTGCCTTTCCGGCTTCTGACCAGCAGGTTCACTTCAAGAACGGCCACGTGGACAATGCCGTGACGGAGGAGTATGTATCAACTTGGCTACATGCCTTCGCTCCCTATGTCGGAATCTTTCCTCCAACAAGCTTTCGGATGATGGGTTTTGGAGTTGGGACTCTCTAGGGCTTTCGGTTTTAGCTCTTGATTACTCACGCCGTTGGGGCTGTTTGTGGATGTTGAGCACTTTACTCTGAGGGCGGTTAGGGCTGTAGAGATGCATAGATGTATGGGTGATGGCCAACATGATTCGAAACTTCTGTGGTCCCGAAATGGCTAACCTAAACTCCGAAAATCCTAGCACAAGAACTCAAGGAACGGAATGCCAAGACAACAGCTAGGTTGAGGTGGCCCCCTAAACCCCTGTAGACCCGCAAAGCCTGGCGCCGTGAACCCGAACCCTACCCAGAGGTTCCAAGTGGGAGTTTCCGAAAATTAGGGGTACCTTACTTTGGGGTCCTTATAATAAGGATCCTCCTAGGAGGACAGAGCCGAGTGGTACAGGAAGCAGAAAGCGAAAAGAGAAGCTGAAGGATTCAGCAACAAAAAGCGCACGTTTGAATCCGGCGTCGGAATCGTGGAGGAGAACCGCAGCCGGCACAGCGGCAGCGATGACGTGGCCCGGTGGACCAGATTCCGAGACTGGGCCGCAACAGAAAGGTTGGTGACCGGTTGCTCGGCCGAGGAGCTCCCCACCCGTTGGAAGCGGGAGCTGGACAAGCCGACCAGCCAGACGAAGACCGTGAATGGCGAGGTCCTACTGCGTGTGTGGACCGGCCTGGAAGACAGACATGGCAGCCGCCACAGCATCACAGCAGGCCTCAAGCAGAGGTGCGATCTTCACAACTCCGAGGACTTGGAGGCCTTCGGCACCCTGTTTTCGGAAACCTCTAAGTACCCAAATAGTAGGTAGGGTTTTAGATCCCAAAATCCATACCATGAGTGCTACTACTTTAATACTCAGCAAAGCCGTCCAAAAGCGTTATAACTCATCGTCTTCGGGCTCAAAAGAGTCCATAGGGCCTTAGAGCCCCGGAGGGAACCCCATCGTCATTCCTTAGTAGAAGCCCGTACCACCCCGATACAACTCCATAGCACCCTGAACCCATTCTGATGTGTAAAGACCGCGCCTGAACCCTTATCGAACCGGTATAGAACGATTAGAAACTCCAGAACACCCTGAACCTTCATGCAAATCTTTGAGCCAACACCGCGAACCCTAAGCCCTAAAAACCCTAAAGCCCTAAACCCTTGAACCCCGAACCCTAAACGGGAAACCCTAGCTCTGATCCCTTAAAGGAGCCCTATAGGCTAAAGCCTATATAAGCCCTATATAGCGAATCCCAGAAAGTTGGAACTTGGGTTTAGGGGGCATTGGTGCTAGGATTCCTTATGCTTTACCTTAAGAGCATGAGGAGAATGATGTTCCAACTTTCTAGCTTCTGCTAGGTCCCTAGATTTGATCCCTTCAGGGAACCCTATAGCAAGGACAGCCCCTGAACGAGAAGGCGCAGCCCAAGAGCGGCAGGGAGGGCCTTGCAGGGACCGGCTCTCTCCTGGATGACCTGCACCACTACTGAAGAGCATATAGGGTTTAAGGTCCAGGGTTGAGGGGTGTATAGGGTTTAGGGTACTGTCTAACCCCAAGGCTCAAAGTGGCCCAACAGCCTCATATATATAATACGGTCTTTAGGCCCAAAAGCGTTAAAACGTGAGTCCTTGGAGCCTTAGGGTAAGGATGTTGGGCTCTGTCAGGATTTCTATAGTTTGTTTTGTTTTTCAATTAGGGCCTTAGAGGGGTGTTTAGAGGGTTCTAGAAGACTGTCTAAGGGGTGTCTGGTCCTTACTTGGAGGATCATGGGACTTAGGGTTCCTTAAAGGGTTCCTTCAGGGGCTCCTTTTGAAGGGTTCTATAAGGGATCAATGGGATTTAGGGGTTTAGGGTCTACTTGGAGGATCATGGGACTTAGTAACTAGGGTTATAAATAAGGTAACTATACTCATAACTCCAATTCGGGTACTTTCAACCTTGTTTACTAAGTCCCGTGATCCTCCAAGTATAGTTTATTATTACCGGGCTCCGTCAGGCTTTCTAAAACAATGGTGCGTTAGCGGGGTTGGGAGGGTTCTAGATTACACCCCAAGGGTCCAACGGACCCAATAATCAGGTACTTGGGTTTAGGATAGTAGTTATGTAGGTTAATATTTGGGAGAATATATGATTATTTGGTGCTTGGACCCTTAGGGACAGGGTTTACATGGGCTGTGAGAACATTTCAGGACTTCTACGTTTCATAGGGTTGAGGGTACCTGTAGGCCACTCTAGGTCAGTAGGTTAACAATTGAATGGACGCATGTGGTATTAATATACTTTGCATGTTCTGATGCACATATACAGCATGTGTCTGTATTTATAAGCATGTACACATACATACACAGTTTTACACATTCAGACGCACGCACGTATTGATTTGTGGATTTTACAGTATGACGGTGGAGGACATGGTCAGCGTGGTGCAGTGGGCTATTCCAGGTTCAGTTACTTCGGTGCTGGTGAGTTGTTCTTGTTGCCCGCAGGCGCAAATCAAGCCCTTTGGAGATTTCAGGTTACAAGGTTGCGTCCCTGAAACCACAGTAAAGATGGTCCTTTGGAGCCTAAGATTCTGAATTCTTTCATTCCATGAATATTCCTTAGCTCAAACGATCAACAAAACCCGACGAAAGCCCACCCTAAACGCTGAACGCTAACCCCGCCATACGAATCTAAACTCTTATAAACCCCTAGACCCTTAAAACCCTAGACCAACAAACCCCAGACCCTTAAACCCTAAACCCCAGACCCCCAAATCCTCAACCCCTAAACCCTACCGCCCTAAACCCTCAAACCTTAAACTCCTAAACCCGAAATGAAAGCCCAGGTACCAGAACAGGAACCCCTGGGACGGAAGCCTGAAGATTCCCCGATTCGATGGAGAGAGGATGAAGGAGGCTGGTCTGAGCTTTCTAGGGGTTCCATAAGGTTTGGGGTTCAGGGGTTAGGGTCTCTGGAAAGAAGGGTTTTAGGTGAACTTTCTTGCTTTGGAGGAGTTCTGTCACTGCGAGGGCTTGGGGTTTTGGATATTGGTTTGAAGGTGTCAAAATCCCAGTTTTATGGGGTTTCTGTACAGGTGTACGGTCTAGGATGCCTAGGAAAGCGGTTTTGGTAGACTTGTTTTTGATTGTTTGGGCTTGTGTACTTTAGGAGAGGGTAATGGCTCAGAGCTTCTTTGTGTTCCCGCGCAGACCCACTTGAAGTATCCCTAATTGTAAACTGTAAGCACCCCTACTCCGCAAGTGGTGCAGGACGAGGACATGCAGATCGAGTTCTTGGAGAGGACACTTGGCCTGGAGCAACCCACAGCACTCTCAGAAGGTGTTGCAGTGTTTGAGTGTGCTCAGATAGTATATACTTTGGCCTTAAACTCCCTATCTAGGACCCAGAGTAGGCCCTTATTCCCTTTTTTAAGGTTTCGGTTCTCTTATAACTCCCTTTAACTCAAAAAGGGCACCCTTCTTATTCCTAGGTTACTCTTGGGTCTAGCTATATAGGGGCCAATCTACGGCCAAAGTAGAAAATATATGAGTACCATGGGCCCTGGGGAGCCTTAGGCCTAGACCCTAAACCCTAAACCCTAAACCCTAAACCCTATGAGTACATGAAGGCTTACCTAGACCCTCCATCTACCCTCTAGTAGACCCCAAAATGCAATTTATTGGGGACCATATACCCTAATTTGGGAGTTTCCGAAAACAGGGGTACCTTACTTTGAGGTGCTTATAGTAAGGATCCTACTATTTAGGCCTACTATATTAGGGCCCCCTATTTTGGGAAACTCCCGTTTCCGGGTACAAGGAGGGTCCTGGTATAGGCTTAGTCTAGACACAGGGCTGTGGGCCTACTCTTCAGGTGGCTGGGCTGCCAGGGCCTTCAAAACCCCCTTAAAGGACTCCTTAAAGGGATCTTTAACGGGATACACAAGGGTTCTAAAAGGAATATGCCTTCAAGCATTTCAGGGATCCTATTATGACAAGAGGGATATTCCTGAAAAAGCCCTTGCATGTGTGTATATATATATATATTTATTTATTTATCTATTTATTTATTTATTTGATTATTTATTTATCTATTTATTCATTTATTTATATATGTATGTATATATATATATATCCCTTGAAAGATCCCTTTAAGGAGCGCTTCAAGGAACCCTAGGTTTATGGTATCTTCCTTAATTAAAGGGTTTTGGAGTTTCTGGGCCTCTAGGGCTGGTTGCAGGACGAAGGCCATGTCCTCCTGTTGGATTTGCATGTGCTTCTAGGCTCTCAAGGGAACTCCAGAAAGTTGGAATGTGGATTAATGGTAGGATCCCCTATATTTTACCTTAAAGGGGTTACAATAATGATATTCCAACTTTCTGGCGTCTAGGCTCTAATCCAAAGGCTCCATGTACCTATATATTAGATACTTAAGCTTTAAAGGGGTCCCCTTGTAGGTACTTCAAGTCCTAACTATATAATATATGGGTACATGGAGCCTGGAGGTAAGGTGTCAAGAGGAAGAACTCAAGAAAGAGGACGAAGGTGTGTGTGATAGCGTGTCTCTCAGATCGCTGGTTGAAGAAAACCCCGCAAACCTCCGCAACACTGAAGCTCTAAAGCTTCGAACTCTAAACCCCCAATGCCTCAAGAGCCTAACCCCAAACCGCGTGGCCCAAATAAACCCCCAAACTCCAAACCCCAAATCCCCAAACTCTAAACCCCCAGGCCCTATAGTAGAAACCAGAAAGCTGGAACATCATCGTCCACATGGCCGTAGGTAACGTATAAGGGATCCTAGCACTAATCCTCCTAAAGCCATGTTCCAACTTTCTGGCTTCTACTACAAACACCAAATTCGCATGGGCAGTTGTCAAAACTATATGGTCCCTTTTGGGGTACCCTAAATATTAGGTGCCGTATTAAGTTGGGGACCCAAAAAGGGACCCTACTTTTGACAACCACCCAAATCGTTTGAAGCCACGACTTCTGGGAACTCAGCATTGGAGGAGTTCAATCCTATTGGTTAGAAGGGGCCCCCTGTAATAGTGGTGTAATCGGAATATAATAGGGCCCTAATATAATCCTTATAGTCACTATTACAGGGTGGGGGTAGCTTCTGACCTATAGGCTCATACCCTACCCCTTTTTTAGGTTGCCTACTTTTAAATTTCTATATAACAGATCCTAATTAAGGAACCAGGTAACCTAAAAAAGGGGTAGGGTATGAGCCTATAGGAGTCATGAAACTTTGCAACTGATAGCCTGTTTTTTCTAAGGGTCCATGTCTCCACAATGGATCCCTTAAGGAGCTTCCTTAAAGGTTTGATAGCCCAAAGGCTCCATATATACTACCTTTATGGAAATATACGTCCCAAAAGACTCCCCCCATTGTGGCTTTTGACACCGCATTCCATAGTAGTAGTGTATATGGACCCTCTTTGTAACGAGAGTTTTAAATCATGGAGCATGGGGCTTGGTGCGGTGCCCTTAAAGGGATGACAAAGTTGTCCCCTAAACCCTAACCCCAAGGGTCCAAGTAGGGTTTAGGGTTTCGGCTTTAGGGTTTAGGGATTCATAACCATATACTCTCCACAATACCTACTGACTGACATAACTACTATCCTAAAGCCGGGTACCTGAAGAACCCTTCCCTCGTTCGACGCTTAGCCGCCTAAACCCGAACTCAACCCTAAGGCTCCGTTTGCATATATAGAATAGTATACACTTGGGGCCGTAAGGTAGCTGTGTCGGAAACCTACGTATATACTAACATGGGTAGTACTGTTGATGGTATAAATCCTGCATTTCCCTAGGGATCCTAAACTATGGAAACTATGGTATATTCCTTACTATGGGTAATGCAGGATTTATATCATCAACCGTAGTAGTAGTAGTAGTAGTAGTAGTAGTAGTAGTAGTAGTAGTAGTAGTAGTAGTAGTAGTAGTAGTAGTAGTAGTAGTAGTAGTAGCAGTAGTAGTAGTAGTAGTAGTAGTAGTCGTAGTAGTAGTAGCAGCAGTAGTAGAAGTAGTAGCAGTAGTAGTAGTGGTAGTAGTAGTAGTAGTAGTAGTAGTAGTAGAAGTAGATGACGTAGAACTACATGGAGCCTTAGGGTAAACAAAGACTTTAAGCATAGGCTCTCCTGGCACCCAAAGCCGTATTTCCAGAACAGTAAACTCTGAAGAACAGTGCTACTCTACAGCCTTCTAACATCTCCAAGCTCCCTAAACCCTAAACCCTAAACCCCTAAACCCTAAACCCTAAACCCTAAACCCCTAAACCTAAAACCCGCAGTGCCCTTAACCCCAAAAACAACCCGAAAAAGCCAATTGCAAGGATGATGGATCCAGGCACGTGGTGCCAGGTTTAGAATTCAGGGTTCAGGGTTTAGGGGTTTAGGGTTTTAGGGGTTTAGGGTTTAGGGTCAGGGGTTTAGTATTTAGGGTTTAGGGTTTGAGGGGTTTAGGGGTTTAGGGTTTAATTCTTAGGGGTTTAGGGTTTAGGGTGGGGCCGGCTATGGGAATCAAGCCATTGCCTTTAGGTGGTTTGAGGCTTGTTGTACCTGTTCTTGTTCTTTTGTTTAAGGGTGTCGATGGCTTACTTGGAGGATCATGGGACTTAGTATCTAGGGTTATAAATAAGGTAATAAGGTAACTATACTTGTAACTCCTAATTAGGGTACTTATTATAACCTTACTTACTAAGTGCCATGATCCTCCAAGTAGGGTGCAGTAGGATGTTGGGGGTATCTGGTTTAGGGTCTCGTAGTGCTGGGTTATGGCCCTTGTCAGCCGGATTTGCTGTGCCTTTAGGCTTCCGGAGGCTCCGTTCGACAGAGCATGACCTACATGAGGCCGAGATGCCCATATATCAAGCTTCAATTTTATAGACCCTTTATAACAACCAGGCCTCTGAGTCTTCTGAGTCTGAGAACCCAACTAGATCTAGGGCACGGGGCCTGTCAGACTAGCCGTACTGCTGTACTACTACTGCTGCTACTACTATCACTACTACTACTACTACTACTACTACTACTACTACTACTACTACTACTACTACAACTACTACTACTACTACTACTACTACTACTACTACTACTACTACTACTACTACTACTGCTTCTACACTACCACCTGAACCTTGGTAGGTGTGGCTGTCATCGAGAATGTGGGTAAGCCAGACAGCTTCGACCACGAAGACTGCGGCAAGCCGTTGGAGGACACGAGGGTGTGGGACTTCCCGTTGAGGGTTCAGTGTTCAGAGTGTTGAAGGGCTGAGGTTTAAGGGTTCGGCAGTTGGGTTTAGGGCTTAGTTAGGGCCTAACGTTAAGCAGGTTTGTTTCGGGTTTAGGGAGAAGCCACGCCTACGCTTTCGGGTTTTATGGTTTATGTGGCTTAGGGTTGTTAAACTGTCCGCATAAGGGATCTAACCAGAAGGGATCTTTAAGTTGATTAAATGGTTCAAATATTAAGCTTACGGCGTTGATGACGCATGGAACATGGTCAAAATTGAACATGTGGAGTGTTTCGTCCAGCTTACCCGTCGGATTGCACACCCTTAACCCCCGCAGACCTTAAAACCCTAAACCGGGCGAGCTCTTTAAAGCCCCTTTCCAGGATCTTCCTTGTACCCCCAAATAGGGGTACATGGTCCCAAATAAAGGGCATGTAGGGTCTAGTAGAGGGTAGACGGAGGGTCTAGGTTGGCTTCCTATATTATGTATCTATACAGCATACCTCCAACGCCGTGTTGAAAGTATGAAGCCCCTATACCGACAAGGCCCCCCGAAACCTAAACTCCAAGTCCTAAGACCCAGACACAGAAGCCCCGAATGTAGCAACCCCCAAGCAGAACTGAAAGCACGCATTGTATTTCCCAAGCAGCCTTATGAACACCATGATAGAAACCATACAAGGTTTTAAGCCCCAAGTTGTCGGTGGCATTTCGGGATAGCTGACCCCGGCTTCAGTGATTCTGATGGTGGCAAGGTTCTGCATTCCTTGTGACAGTGAGAAGAACATCCCCAGAGAGCTTGAAGTTTGCACGTTGTGGGCTTGTGCACTGAGCAGCTAAGGGCTCCAGAAGTTGTTTTAGATACATGTTCCCCCGGCTCTATGAGCTCAAAGGGTCTTAGGTACTGTTACGGGCGGTACATACGGAAATCAGAGTAGTGATTCCAAGATAGAAGCCCCACATTCGACCAGGACCCCTCAATGGCCCTTTGATGGAGCCCTACGTAATGGCTCTTAATAGTAGGAATTTGGCGGCATATTAGAGGGTAGTTAGGGGGGTCTAGGTACCATAAAGGACCTTAGGACCGTAGGAGCCTTTGGGGAACTCCAGGGTTTAGATGGGGTTGAGCGTTTCGGTTCAGGTTTTAAGGCCTACCTGGAGCGTAAGATACGCCATCCCAGACGAAGGTACCCAGAGACTCCAGAACCCTTTAGTTAAGGAACATACTGTAAATCATACTAGGGATCCTATACATGATTGGGGGTTTAGGGGTTTCCGGTCTAGCCCCAAGGGTCCAAAGGATCCAATAATGACGTACTCGGTTTTAGGATAGTAGTTGTAGGTCAGGGTTTGGGGGAGTATATGATTTTTTGGGGGCTGCAATCCTGGGTCTAGTTGCCAGTTATCACTCGCAGTCCCTGCGAGTGAGACCACCGAGACCCTCCTTGGAGGATCATGGGGCTTAAGTACAGTGAAAAGTACCTCAAATGGGGTTATAACTTATTGAATTCTTATGAATAGAATCTTACCTTTTTCACAACCCTAGATACTAAGTCCCATGATCCTTCAAGGAAAGCCCTACATCCGTGCGAGGACTTTGTTGGCAGCATCATCGGCCGGCTCAATCAGCATCCGGTGCGATCGACACGCTTCGGCGTCATCCATACACAGGCCTGGTGCCCCTAAACCCTGAATCGGAGACCTTGAAGCACCCCTGTACTATAATAATTTTCTATACTATTTTTTTTTTTTGGGGGGGGGGCCCTGTATAATTGGCCCCAAACCCCTATTCTACTTATTAAGGCCCCTATATGAACATCCATCGCCTTAAGCCTAACCCCCTAAATCCTAAACCCTGAAGACTTCTCTCAGTGGCGTGTATGCGAAGGAGAATTTGAGCTCCTAGGATCCAGGGACCTCAATGCGGGCGCTCAAAAGAAGATGCATTTTGCATAGGGGTCCTTGGGACAAACATGTCCTACTATCTCGCTGGTAGTCTACCTGAAGGGTCCCCTGTGTTCTAAAACAAGGCGAGACGATTGGGTCAGATACTCTTGGCTTGATTTTTTTTTGCTTGATCCCAGTGGATCCCAACGTGCCCCCTGAAAGTCATCATGCAAGCTGTGTGTGGGGCTTAAGAGGAAGTCTAAGGCTTAAGGCTCAAGGTTTCCAAAGGTTCAATCAGCCAGTGCGAACCGGCAGGAATCACAGGGCGATCTGCTATAGGGGCTTCAATAGTTGCCTATACTATTCTCAGGGCGCCTTATCATTTTCATAGTATAATGGGCCCCAAAGCCCTCTTCTAATTATCAAGGCCCCTATATTATGCTGCCATCGAAACCATGATGATCGAGCAGATCATGCAAGGACAAATTTAAACTTGAGCATGCCAGAGGCCTTTATATTCGACTGTCTACAGTGGGTGTGAAGATTAGCTAGCTGTATACTAGTACAAGCGTGATCGCTAAGCCTGAAAAGAATGAGACATAGGAAGACCGCATCTACCGCATTGCCAACCTACATGAAGAGGAGCAGAGCTTGAAGAGATACCACCAAGACCAAGGCGTGATCCTGCCATGGGCGCGTAGCTGTATTTTCAAGCCATCTTTTGGCTTGAAAATCAAGAAGAGCTGTCGAAAACCAGGGACGCGAGAATCCCAGACAATGGGATGCCGAACTCCCCAAAGCCCAAAGGGTCGTAGGTACTGTTATGTTATGAGTTATGGGGGATACTTCTCCAAACCATAATAGTAACTCCTAAGATGGAAACCCTACATTCCACTATCTGCGTACTTTGGACCCATTGGGAAAGAGAAGCTTCTCAAAGGAGGACCCCTAAACCCTAAACCCGTTCAGCTTCTCAAAAACAACCCGGCCATGTGACCACAAGCTTGCAAAGGCCAGAGGAGAGCAAGCCGGCGCCGATTATGACCAAAAGAACCCGAAGCTTGTCCGCAATTTCCTACTTGGAGGTTCATTGGTAGTTTTATAAGTGGGGTTATAAGTGGGATAACTACAGTTATAAACCATATTAGGGGACGTATAACCCTACTTATACCTACCCATGAACCTCCAAGTAGTGGGCGATTGACAGCTGAACTTAGGAGTGTGACTCAGTAGTCATGATATTCCTACACGGAGAGCCTAGGAAACTCTCGAACCTTGTGACACAGCATCTGCGTCAGGATCCTTTTATGTCCAGGGCTCAGCTAGGGATGTATAGTGTTTTGGTTTCGGAAGCCTGAATGACTTAATGCCCAAAGACCCGTCCGTGCTTCCGTAAAGAACCCCAGACCGCTTTGAAGAGCTCAAAGCCCGGAAAAGGTTTAACGGAGTCCTAACACCAACATGCCATAATTGGAACCCTTTGAGTTTAGGGTTTAGGGTTCCTAGAGCCTTGAGGAGTAGGGCGTCATCGAGAAGTAGCCCCGGGTCGGCTTGCAGTATGGCCCTAAACCCTAACCGTTTAAAAAACCTTAACCCCTCAAAACACAAAACCCTCGAACCCCTAAACCCCTAAACCCTAAACTGCTAAATCCCAAGCCCCGAAACCCCTAAACCTTAAGCTCCGAGTGCCTATGACCTGGCCCCACAGCCCAATAACCTGGCGTAGAGTAGTATGTGCCGTTATATACCTTAGACGATTCATCCCGACCCTAACAGTTGGGCTTAGCGTTTAGGGATGATGACCTTAATTATGGTCATTGTCGCCCAAAAACCATAAGCCTTATAAGTCCTGAACCCTTAGGTTGTCGATGCACACGGATCATTCTCCGTACCACGGTACGCCGGGCTATCTGCAGTTTATGTTCCAGGCCTTGTGGGTTAAGGGGCTTAGGCTTTTCAGTGAATTCTTTTGGCTATACAAGGTCTTCTCATGGATTCCGGATCTTTCTACCACTATTGAAGGTGTAGGGCTTAGGGTACAAGAACCCTAAACCCTTTTAAGAACCCTTATAGATCCCTTTAAGGAACCCTTTAAAGCAATCCTAGGGTTCCCGCGTACAAGATCTTTTGCTAATAGGTTCCGGATATATCTAGCATCATGGAAGGGTTCTGGAGTGGTAGTTATGCAGGGTTCAGGCCTCAGAGTTGAAGTTTAGGGCCAAAGTTTAGGGTTTTGGGTTTTAGGGTTCACCCCAAAGTAAGGTACCCCTATCTTCGGAAACTCCCAAATAGGGGTATGTGGTCCCCAGTAAGGGGCATTCAGGGTCTAGTAGAGGGTAGATGGAGGGTCTAGGTGTTGTCGGGTCATACGGTTTAAGAGTTACCTGCAGGAAGAGGGAAGTCCGCTTCGGGGCTTTAAGGCCAAGGGTCTATAGGGTGTATACCAGTGGTCCAAAAACCCTATACCGTATCGAGGATGTATAGAAGCCCAAAGCAAGGAAACCCCGAAAAGGTAACGTTTTAAGCTACCGGAAGGCTTAAGGCCCGCATGCTTGGGAACCACTTTTGTCCTTTAGGTAGGCCTTGAACCCCAAACCTTGAACCCAACGACTCGTTCCGCACCTGAGGAACCCTGAGTTTGCGAGGGGTGCGGATAACCCCAAGTGTCTGTCACAGGTACTAAGACCTTGAAGGGGTTTCTTGGGAATGCGGTTCAGAAAAGGATAGAGTCAGCAAATATGACATGAGGGTTAAAAGAAATGAGCAGACTAGATGTTGTGATTGAAGAGAGATTAGGTAGCACACAAGGAGGAAGGAGGAAAAGTACATACCCTCCACACATGCACATTGTGGCGGGTGGAGCACATTTTGCGCGTCCTTGACGGGCTTCTTTGGGCAACGGCATACTGCAGGATCGCACATGTGCTGCAGAGGTTTTTTGGTGTTAAGAACACAGAATACACGATGTTGTAAACCTGTAGTAACAAACACGAAAAAAAGCATTAACAAAGACAAGCAGAACCCCCGCGCTACGGTCTACGGGGTTTAGTATCGTTTTGGTCCCATGGCTTTATGCGAGAATGCGCGAAGCGAACCACAGGCGCGAGGTTCGGTAACATCCAAAGTCGTCGATGGCCTGATGGTGGCGGAGCACCTCCGAGCCCTGCTTGGTTTAGGGTTTAGGGGTTAGGGTTTAGGGTTCATGTGTTTTTGGTATTTTCTCAGGCTATGACAGGTTTTCTTGCGCGTGTATGGAGTTTAGATAAGGGTTCATGGACTTGTTTAAGTTCTGTGGGTGTTTTTCAGGAAGTAGTTCAGGGCTTTGATAAATAATTGATTTAGGGCTTCGGGCCACCGTGCATGAGGATCCATATGAACATGATATGTGTGTGTAAGAATGCGCATATATCCGTATGTGTATATGCCCATACATATATATATATATATATACACACATGTAATTATGTACATACATGTGTTTACATGTACGAATACAAGAGACAAAAGAGCATGGTCTTGATTCAGGCATGCATGTATGTGTTGATATGTACTGAAGGCTTGTGCCATACGCTTTGCCACGGTGTGTTGCATTGGATTTAGGAGTGAGCTTGCATGTAGCTAGCTAGACACTCGCTTGGACAAGTTGGCGGCCTTGTCCCCGAAATACAACGTCCTATTCATTGCTAGCTGGGATTGTAAACTTTGCACCTGTTGGAATAATGAAACCTTCACTAATTCAGAAAGTATGAAATCTGTTGGTGCCTCTCCACTGGCACTAACAACTAATGATGCAGGGACCTTAATAAATACCTATACTATTTTGGAGGTTCATAGTTATAACTAACCATAGTATACAGAGCCCCAAAAACCCTTTTCCAATTTTTAGGGCCGCTATATTAAGACTTGAAGTTGGTCCGTCGAAAGAAGGAAATCTACTTGTGGATTCAAGCAGTGGTGGTACAAGGGGTTTAACGATTACGGTTTTCAATGTTTGGGTACTTGGGTTTGGGATGGTAATTCTGCGGGTTTGTTTTTTTGGAGAGTATGTGATTGTTAGGTACTTGGACCCTGATTGTAGGCTTGGGGGGTTCAGGGCCATGCTATACAAGGTGCTTTAGGGTTTAAACGATTTAGAGTTTACCCATAGGCCCCAAACTTTTTGGGGTTGATTTTTAGAACCCTATAAGTTAATCCCAAAAGGAATGACTTTGGGGCCTATGGGTAGGGTGCAGTGGCTGAGGCCAGAACCATCCGGACGACTATGATCTGTGTCTTAGCTGCTACATGCATTGGTTCGGACGAAGATGGGAGTTTCCGCAAATAGGTGACCCTAATATAGTACCCTAAAGAGTAGGAGCCTTATTATAAGCACCCCAAAATAAGGTACCCCTAGTTTTCGGAAACGCCCACATCGCTCCTATAAGACATCACCCTGCATAGATTTATGCCAGTCCTGGCCCAATCCCAAGTAGGACACTGCCCTCGTCATGCCTCCGCTCTTTGTTTTGGCAATCTGTACATTCAGCTGAAGCCCTATTGGCACCACAAAGTAGAGGGACGTAGATTGGACTGACCATGTTGTTATTTCAAATGCCCGGTAATTACAATTATACGATGGTTTGCCCGAAACCTTGCTCTAGTTGTGAAGGTAGGTGCCTTTTATTGTTCTTACACAGTACCGAAGGCATCGGGAGGCTTCAGCACACGAGTGGAGCCCGCAAATCATCCTCGGACAAGCTGACTTAGTCAGCATCTTTACGCGTCTTGTCAAGAAAGATGAGTTAGTGGCTTACGAATCTTCGTGCCAAGTTTGAGCACTAACAAGCTCTTCACCATGATAAGAGACCCCGGCAGGTCTGTAGGTGCTGCGCTGAGGTAGGGCTTTCCAGAAAAAGTGCATTCAACAAAAGCTGGCTGGAATACGGAACGGATGGGCACCCTAATTTGCGAGACACTCCTGTTTGCGGCGATTCAAACCATTGCTCCTAAACCCTAAACCTCAAACCCTAAACTCAAGCCCTAATCCCTAAATGGACCATGTAGAACCTTCGAGAAAGTCACTGTGAGGCTGTGCAAGGTCAACGTTACCCACAGCTCCAGGACAGTCTCTATGGGTTTCTGAAGCGGCTTTGTAAAGGAGTTTCAGAAGGCTTTGTATCTATTTGACAGGGTTTCTAAAGGTTTCGAAATCGGCTTAAGGGGCAGCAAGAGGGTTTTTACGTGTGCTTAAAGGGCATTGGTGTTGTAAGGTTTTGGGTTAGGGCTTGGAGGCTTGCGAGAGGCTTTAGGGTATACGTGTTGTTAGGGCATGTCTTGGGTACTTGGGGTTTCAAGGATGAGGCTGCATGGGCATGGGGTTTGCAGGGTTTAATGTTGAGGGTACTGGCGAAGTGGCAGCGGAAGAGCCGCTCTTTTCGCAAGGCCAAGTACGAAGCAGCCCAGGAAGCAAAGAAGCTGGCCAAGCTCCAGTTCGAAGTCTTCCGGTGCAGCGGCTCTTCCAGGGAAATTGTCTGCCTTCACTTCACCAGTCCGTGGCAGTGCTGTGCCAGATGTTGCAAGTTCCGCGACTGGTAACACTTTGGAGCTCTTGCAGTCGGGGCTCAAGGCAGAGGTCAAAGCAAAGATGACCCGTGAGATCAAGGCGGAAATGCAAGCCCAGATCTTGAAGGAAGATCCTTCGGAGCTCGGGCAGGCACAAGCTCCAGAAGTCGGGTTTAGGGTTGAGGGTCTAGAGTTTAAGGTTTAGGGCTTCAAGCTCCGCAGGTCGAAACGAAGGCGGAACGCCTCAGGCTCGGGATGTCTCGGGTATGTAATTATAGGGTCTACCCTCACCCTAAGGCTGAAAATGGCCCAAATGTTGTCTTTAGGCGCAAGAGCCGTAAAATCTGAGTCCTTAGAGCCTTAGGGTAGCATCCTGGTCTATTGAAGGGACCCTGAAACCTCAAAACTTGGACTTCTGAGGCCTCAAAGAGACGCAAGGGCTCTTTGTAGGAGGTTCCGAACCCTCCCAAACAGATACCAGGACCCTTACCCTGAGGCTCTGAGGACTCATATTTCTTGGGCTTAAATTAAAGACCATTTTATGCAAGGCTTTTGGGTCATTTTGAGCCTTAGGGTTATTGTTCTGGGGAGGCGGGGGACGTGCTGATCACATTCCTGACTAATCAGTCAAGACTCAAGGATGCACACCAACAAACACACAAGCACGCGCACGCACACACACACACAGTCATGTACTTAAATACGTAAATCTGAAACAAACAGAAAATCATAAAACCTGCATCCCCTAAACCCTAAACCCCCCAGCAGTCACAGCACCCTGAAGCATGAAACTCTGCAAAGGAGCAACACTTTGAACCTCTGACCAAATCCCGCAAACCCTAACCCTCCATGTAACCATATAGTATATACATGAAAGGGTTCAACTATATAGGTACTTTGAGGCTGATAGGTGTACTACATAGGCACACGGAGCCATAGGGCAAAGTAACAACATCTGCGCCTCTGCGCCAAGAACCCTAAACCCTTAACCGTGAACAGAAAGGAGCAACATCAACAGCCACAAGAACCCAAAGCCCTAAACCATCCTAAACCCATTCCTAAACCCTAAACCCTTAAAACTTAAAGCCCCAAACCCTTAACCCTTAAAACCCTAAACCCAAAGAGGAACAACATCTACGCCAAGAGCGGGGTCTACTGCCGGGATGCTGAAGATCAGGAGCCCTTCTCCTTCGAGCTCGCCGGGGCCTTGGGTTTACGCATGCCCTTAGGCTCTTAAGGTTCCTTTAAAGGGATCTATAAGGGTCCCTTTAAAGGGATCTATAGGGTTTGGGGTTTAGGGTTTACCTATAGGCCCCAAAGTAGTTCTCTTTTTGGGATTGCCTCATAGCATTCTAAATATCAACACCCAAAAAGGAACTAGTTTGGGGCCTTGGGTTTAGGATTCAAGGTACCCTGAACAAAAAAACAGAAAAAACGTTTGGGATGCTTTGTCCAGAGTTTCTGGTCTTGGAGGTCTTGAGGGTTTCGAAGGCGCTTTGCAGGGTTTTAGGGTCGGTTCGCGGGGCCTTCAAGGCTTTTCAAGATCCTGGGCATTTAGAGTTCCTCAAAATTTTGTTGTTTTGGCTTTTCGGGCCTCTGGGGTGCCTAAGGCCTCAGGTTTCAGGCTTCTTAGGGCGGAAAGGGATTTTCAGTGGCAAGCCCCAAACCCTAAAACGGATCATAGGGCCCGCGATACCGTGACAATGGGAAAGTGAATCGCAAAGAATAGCTTGGGTGGCAAACGGTCTAGGGTCTACTACAAGCTCATGAACTACAAACAGTTTTCTTAGGGTTCCTTGTATCTATAGTACGTATAACATCTAAAACCTTGTTTCATTAATTATGGCCCCTGAATCATCGTACCCTTCTATAGATCCTATATAGACCCCTGTAAGGAACCCTTTAAAGGGAACCCAATCCTAATTGTTAAGGAATTAGGAGTCTAAGCTCATTTTCAGTTTTGGGGATGACTGGTTCCCACAACCAGGGAACCCTGGCCAAGCCAAGAGCCTAATAAAGGGGCCTTAATAATTAGAATAAGTTTTAACGGGCCCATTATTCTATAAGTATAATAAGGAGCACCAAAATAGTGGCTAATTATATATTTAGACCCCTATGCCTATAGTATAGCACATGAGTGGTTCGGAAAATTGGTTTCCGCAAATCCAAGAACCCTAAATAACTTGGCGACGATGGGTGACCAATGCTTACCAATAAGATTTCCCCAAAGAGGAGTGAGTGGTTCGGAAACCTAAATGCTAAACGGGGTGCCTGGTGACCAGGTTCTCAAAAATCGCGAACCCTAATTGAATATAGTCCCAAAGGAAGTCATGCTTGCCCGAACCTGACTGGCCCCAAACCCCCAAACTGATGAGGTTGGGTGGCAAGCCCACGGCCCCCCAAAAAAGAGATGTTGGATGTCTAACACCGAGCCCGACAAGTAGCACCCCAAGTTGTGACAGAAGGTGGTTTGTGGAAAGCTGAAGACCCGAAACGTAGCCAAACAGGCACCATCGCGGGTGGGACACTCGTACTCTTTGCATAGAAGTAAAGCGACAGTCAGCTGATGATTATTGCTCATGGTTTTCTCATGAATGCTCCTTAGTAAAGCAGCCCGTGGTGCTGAAGGTTCACACGCACCCGATCTTGACACTCGACAAGGACGGAAGGCTTGAGAAGGCGCAGAGGGAGGTTTCGTTTGTGGCTGGTAGTACCTTCTACATCAAAGTTTTCAGGATCGGGGGTTGAGGATTTAGACTATATCAGGGCTTGGGATTTAAAGGGTTTAGGGTTGGGCGGGCTATGCCAGATTAGGTATTTACAGGATCCTAACCTGCCGTTTGTTTTTTGGTTTTGTTATTTTGGGCCTGCCTCCATAAGTAATGTTGATTGCTTTCTAGTTCAGGCCTTCGTGCTGCCCCTGATTAGTTCAGCCCGCTCCCACGGCAAGATATATTGTAGGGCTCATAGTACTAAGTCTTTTTTAGAAAGGAGGCTATAAATCGGGGTTTACATGAGTCTTCCAATGGGGTCAGCATTGCGGAGGTTTTGAAAGGGTCTATGTACAGACACGTCATATACTTTGCTCAAAGTACCTATAGCGGGAGTACTGTAAGGCCAAAGTATATACGATACGAGCACATGGACCATCGTACCCTAAACTCTTATGGTACCCTTATAGAAACCTTCAAGGAACCCTAAACCCTAAAACCCTAAACCCTTATGGTACCCTTATAGAACCCTTAAAGGAACTCCTTCAACTTCGCTGGCCAGGTGGTTCAGTCGGAAACAAAGCGCGGTGTGTCCGCCCTGCCATTCGAAACTCGGCAGAAGAGTCGAACTTCTAGATCTCCAAAGCAGGGCGGTTCAGGATTTATAGTAGAAGCCAGAAAGTTGGAACATCAGACTCCTCATGCCCTTAAGGTAAAGTATAAGGGATCCTAGCACTAATCCTCCTAAAGCCATGTTCCAACTTTCTGGCTTCTACTGTAGGGAATATAGGGAATAGGAGATTTAGCGTTTAGGGTACAGGGGTTTAGGGTTTAGGGTTCCTCTCAAGGGCTCTTAATCAAGAAAGGTTCTTTAAGGGGTTTAGGGTTTTTGCGGATGTCTCGGGTTCAGGGTGAAGCGGGGTTTAAATCTTCGGGTTTACAGATTCATAGGGACCCTTAGTTTGAGGGGCCAGGGGGCAGGGGGGTAGGGGACTATTAAATAGGCTTTATAAGTCCGTATGGTTTTATGGCCCCCTCCCCCCTCCCCTACCCCTCTAGGGGTCCTTATGACAGATTTACACGGTCTGGGCGTGCTAGTTTAAATTATCAATGGAGTATACGGTTAATTTCCCACAATACCAAAACCTCAAGGGTCCAAAAGACCCAATAATTAGGTACACGGTTTTAGGACAGTTGTTATAACTGTTATGTAGGATAGGATTTTGGAGAGTATATGATTAATAGATACTTGGACCCTTGGGGAAAGGGCATAGCACAGGAAAAGAGATTTACTGCATTCTCTCGTGGTTACTAGAAGCAAAGCGTCTTGCTGCCCCAAGCCGAACTTGGGGACGAACAAGTACAATTTCCCAAGGGATGATAAGTACCTATGTGTTGGGTTCTTGGACAAAGCATAACCATGATAGTAGCTCCAGGTATGGAAACACTAAGCTGCACGGTGTACGTGCGTAGGACTCACTGAGCCAAATATTCAACAGTAGTTTTCACCGTCAACCCCAAATCCAAGACACCTGCCAGCTCAGGATGTCTATGACAGATATATGACGGCCTACAAACGCTGGACGTCGCTGCTGGAGGACAACGGCTACTCGGGGCGGTATGCCTCAGCTCTACACATCCTACTTCCTAAGCCTGTGCTGGGTTTGGGTTGAGCACTCATTGCTTTAAGGCTCGGGTTCAGGGTGTAGTGCTGCACCTCCATCGACACTCAGGCCACCTACCAAAACGTTAAACAGGTCCAACCTAGGATCCTAAGCATTTCGGCTTTCTTGTGGGCCCCGAAGTGAATTACCCATAGACTCCAAACTCCGCGCTTTGTCGACGACGACGAAGAAGATGATGATGATGGTATCACGACGACGATGACGACGATGACCATGATGGTGATGACAGAGACGCAGGCGGTTATGACGATTTAGTAGGATGGTGATGACGACTATGATGACGATGACGGCGATGACAAGCCTGAAGACAGCAGTGATGAGGCTGACGACGGTCATGATGCTACTTGTCATCAAATGCCCGGCTCTAGAAGATCCTGAGGATGACCGTTAAGGGTTTTGGCTTTGGGTTTAGGGCCGTTCTGTTTGGCAGGGTGTGCTGACGGCACTTAGTTTTCGCAAACGCTCAAGAAAGCTTAGGGTTGAAGTGCGCAGTTGCCGTTAAAGGTCCTGGCTTCAGGATCTTGGGCTGAACCCGGAGCATCCTCAGCAAGCCTTAGAAACCCCATAGCTGGTCAGACTCTACTTTTAATTATGGAATACAACATATAGGAGTTTAGAGTCTAGAGTCTAGGGTTGTACTTATTATTCCTGCAACATATAGGAACTTCAGGCTCTAAATTAAATGTACATGGATCTTTTTTGGGACATGCCCGGGATGGCAGAGGGTTGTTTGTGCAGGAGCCGAGATTCAAGTGCAACTTTGACTGGCCGGAACATTCCATGGTGGTCTGCTCCCGAGAGGGTTGACCCTAAACCTGAGATTGTGTCGGCCAGCACAGAAAAAGCTATGCAGCTTTAAACGGGAGCATCAGGTTCAGAATGCACTTAAAGATACCAACCTCAAAAAGTCGTTTAGTAACCGTTGCGATTGTAGTTACCCTCGGAGTATACCTCAAATCAGCCCTTATAGTAACCTCTTCAGTTCACAGTAAGGTACCAAGAACGCGGACACTGCGAACTAGTCGTCCTTAACCCATGGTCCAATTGCATGGATCTCGCTGTGCCACTATGACTGTCCCGTATCCCTAAACTACCCGTAGCCGCCGACTCTAAACCTTAAGCCATAAACCCCAAACCTCTAAACTGAACCCTACAACCTAGATCCCCTAACTACCCTCTAATATACCCCAAATGGCTACAATTAAGGGCTATTAGGGCTCCATTAAAGGGCCATTGGGGGGTCCTACAACATGAATCGACTAAACCTCACCAAATTGCTGAAGCCCTAAACTACCCGGAGGCTCCATAGTAGTTCCTTTTTGGGATTACATTATAGGATTCTAAGTATGAACCCCAAAAAAGGAACTACTATGAAGCCTATGGGTAGATCCTGCACCTTGAAGCCAGACATCCTAGAAGCTTAAGCATTAACCCTACCTTAACCCTGAAGAACCTACCCTTTTAAGGATCTATATAAGGAAATCATAGTAGGGAACCCTAAAAGGGTAGGTTCTTCAGGGTTAAGGTAGGGCTTGTTGAGCATGCACAGGGTATTTTTAGGTTCGATTGTGTTTTGTATGTGCTTTTTTCACAGGGCTGCGCGGCTTTCTCACCCAAATTGTTAAAAGCTCCATCAGAGCCACATGGACGGACAGCATTCGGATTTGTGTTTGGAAGGATCCGAGCTTTTCTCGTGTCGGTGCCTGGACCTAGCAGGACTTTGGGATTGAATTAAGAACCCAATCCCCTTAACTCCTGAAGCCCTAAACCCCAGACACCCAACCCTTCATTACCCGAAGCCCCAGACCCTATCAACCCCATAAGCCCTGAAACCCCAAACCCTAAAACCCGAACCCCTAAACCCTAAATTGTGCCCCCCAAACCTGACACATTTGTCAACCTCGCACTGGATTTGGTCAGAGTCATGTGGCGGGCAAGGCAAAGTTGCCCAAATCAGTTTAGGGTTAATGCTTTCAGGGGTTTAGGGGAACAGGGTTTCTGGGTTTAGGGTTTAGGGTTTGGCGTTTAGGGTTTTGGGGCCTGCTTCGGATTTCTGATGACGCAGTAGCCTACTGGCTGATAGGTTATACCCTACACATGTGGGGTCAGAACCTAGTAATCTGTGGGGTTTTGGGCTGCAGGTGAGGCTTAGGGTCAAGATATGCTGCCTGCTGCTGTGCTATACATACTCAGTGTTGTTTTGAGACGGCGCATTACATCCGCATGTGACAACTGTCTCCGCACGTGCAGAGATGAAGATGGTCCGAGTAAGTACCTGTATGGTAGAGTGTAGGGCATGTAATTAGGGTTTCTGTATTAGAGTTCATTGTGATGATTTGGGTAAGTGTATATCCCCCATAGCAATACCTATGACCCCTTTGGGGCTGGTCAGGTCATGAACAACTGGCGTGTCCTCCACGCGCGGGCTCAGGTGTGGCTAGGCTTCGACTGGATTCGAAGGGTGTGGAACTGGTAGCCAAGCTCTTGTGGACCCTGTTGATGTCAGAGAAACCCTGAACCGCTGAACCACAACCCCACCAATGCCTACTGCCCTCCCGAATGACTATCGGTACCTGGAGTTATTGAGCCTGTTAGCAGCAGAGGCTTGACGGGCAATATCAGATAGATATCATGGTATATACATGGGCCTGAAAGTAGCCCCCATATAGCTACTTTAGGGCCGAAGTATCTACTATACGGGTACATGGACCCTTAGGGTATGTTCTCGACGTAGCGCTGAAATTTGGGCATTTGAGGGCTCGGGGCCTAGGGTGCAGTTTATGTCTCGTATCAGCTTTGGGAAACCTACCGGGCCAAAACCCCACACCCACAGCAGGCCCCAAAAGGTACTTTTTTCAGCTGTAGCTAAGCGTCAGAGAACCGGCCATGCTGCACAAGTCGGGGCACTGGCGGCTTTTAGAAGCACTCCGGGATTTTAGGATTGAGTGTGTTGGCCTTGGTTTCTCTATGCTGAGGCCTTACATTCCCGAAGAGTCCTAAGCACATGTATACAAGAGTTTGTATATACAGGATAGTTAGAACTCTACTTTTGTTTGGGTATGTATCCCGCATTAAGGTACTTAGCACCTTTGTGATTGGAGCCCGAACATTTTCAGTTCCATAAGCCATACGGTAGAGGAGTCACCAACATCACACCACTACTTCCTGAAGCGACTATCACCCATGGCCCACTCTGTCCGAAAAGCGCAGCACTTTACGTGACAAGTTGAGAACCCTCGTGAAATCCTCCGTTCGGAATGCCCGGAGGGCATGGCGCCATGTGGGGGTTTCCGAGAACAGGGGACCCTTATATAGCACCCTAAATAGTAGGATCCTTGTTATAGGGACCCCAAAATAAGGTACCCCTAATTTTCGGAAACTCCCATGTCTTTCCCAAAGGGTCTTAAGTAATTACAGACATGGGGGATACTTTCCCAAGCCATAATATTCCTAGCAGTAATTTCTAGTTTAGAGACCCTACTCGCTACTGTGTACAGTAGGTACTTTTTAACCCTTTGAGACAAGGAAGCTATTCAAAAGAACAATTTAGCCGCCGTCTGACACCTAAACCCCCAACCCCAAGCGCTTCGGGTCCTCGTACCCATATAGTCTGTACTTGGCCCTTAAGGGGGTTTGTATCCTCCTAGATAGGTAGTTTGGAGCCAAGAGATGTAATACATAGCAACATCAACCCTTTATGTACTATATACTCTCAACCAGACGCAACCTGAAACCTATGCGAAGTAAGCCTGTTCAGCCGTAATTCGTCGAAACCCAAGGCTTCCGATCGACATCCCAAAGGGCTTTGTGTCGTGTGGTCTTCCGGCCCCAAAATGGTCGTGGAATATGTGGGGAATTAGGGCTACATTAAATTGCCATTGGGGGCTCCTGGTATATTAGAAGTTCAGATTGAGGCCCCCTGGCATGCAGCGAACGATGGTCTTCGCCTACATCCAGCAGCCTGGCAAGGGATTGTGGCGATTGAGGGCCGAGGGCTTGGGTTTAGGGTGTATATGGTTTATAGGGTTTAGGGGTTTAGAGTGTTAAATTCTGGGTTTAGGGTTTAAGGTTTTGGGGGTATAGGGTAATGTAAAATGAAGGAGCCTGATCAAGAAACCTTGGGCCTTTATTAGGGTTCCTTATTTGAATCTTACGATTTTGGGGTTATAGGCCCAGGGTTTCTTGATCAGGTTCCTACATGAGGGCTCAAGATTGCGGTGCCCTACCCAAAACCTAAGTCCTAACCCCAAAACCCCTAAGCCCCAAACCCCAAGGCCAAAGCCCAAAACCACCGAACCGGCAAAACTTTGCATAGCACTGTCGAATTAACATGCACAGCCCCAAAAGATCAGCCTATCTGGGAAAAACGTATCCTGCAGTCCCTGTAAAGCTTTACGACATTATTATGCCCCCGAACCCTATTCTTATCTACGAGTACCATTATTTGCATCAGTACTATGATAGTATTCGTATGATAACTATGTAGTTAACACCCATAGCCTCCATAGTAGTTCCTTTTGGGAGGTTCATATTTAGAGCTCTATAAGGTAATCCGAAGAAGGAACTACTATGGAGCCTATGGGTATCAAAGTGCTGATTAGCTGCAGCACTCGCACCGGGCGCTGGAATCCCACGAAACCCAAATGCCTCCCCGTGGATCCGAACCCCAAGCGGTCCTAGGCACCTACATAGTAGAAAGTAGGGTTTCTTGGCATTCTTCTGGTTGGCTCTTAGGACTTTCAGTTTTTGAGTTTCTAACTCTATATTCACTATAGTACGGAGTAAGGAGGCTGAAAGTTTGACTAGGAGGGATTCAGAAGTCAGCCAAGGTTTGTATAACCCAGAACCATTCGGAGTATGGAATCCCGGACCTAAACCCCTACTATTGGGGCACTTGGCCCCTCTTGTCAATAGGAATTAAGATTATGGTCAGGGTCAGTATCTCCCATACAAGTACTCAGGGCCCGATTGCTTTCAGGATTAGAACAACCCTGTAACACTGGTGTCGTTCACGGCTTCAGGGCATAGAAGGCTATGACAACTCTGTACTTGTGGGGCCATTTGCTGCTTCATGGGGTGGACCGCAAAAATGCCGCTGTAACGACCTTATAATTCTGCAGGTCATGGCCGCTAATTGTTCTAGGTTATCGGGCTACTAAGACCCCGAAGCCCTAAATGGCAAAAGCCTTGAACCTAGGAAGACCATCTACGAGAATCGCCATCGGCTGCTGAAGCAGCGGCAGGTGGCTTCGGGGTTGGGGTTGCTACAATTGATGATATAAATCCTGCATGCCCCATCATAACGAATAGACCATAATTCCCATAGTTTAGGGTCCTTCAGGTAATGCAGGATTTATATTCCCCAAACCCTAAAACCATAATGGATCCCTTAAAGGAGCCCCTTAAAGGTACCCTTATAGCTCCCTTTAAAGGAACCCCAGGATTAGGCTAGAGGGTCCTTATATCATCAACAGTAGTCCGAAGGCTCTGGCGCGCAGGGTTCTTAGAGGCCTCATGGAGGTTTACGAGGATCCATGGGGTCATTACAGGGGTCATAGGTTTAGGGTTTAGGGTTTAGGGTATAGGGTATAGGGTTTAGGGTTTAGGGTTCAGGGTTTAGGGTTTAGGGTTTGTGCCGGGGCTGTATGGGGTTATAGGGTTCTCTACTTCGAAGTTCATGGGACATAGTCGCTAAGCTTTATAAGGTAATTACACCTATAACTTATGACTAGTCATATCCCCAGTTCAGGTACTTTCAACTGTTTTTACTAAGTCTCATGAACCTCCAATGTCCATGTAAGCCCGTAAGCTTTAAGCCCCATCCCAAGCTACACGTCTTGGGATCGCTTTGGATTCCTAGTAGGCTTGGTGTTCCAGGTAAATCATCAGGTTAATGTTTTTTGAGATTTTTGATTGATTACGTAAGATATTGTTGACATGTAAGTATATCTGGACTGTCAGTAGCCTTTTTCTCGACCGCCATATGGTCGTATTACGTTGGCCATCAGATAGACACGAGAGGTTTGGATCCGCTTGGGGTCATCCCGAACAGCGCAGTAAGTTTCAGCGTCCTACTCTATTGGGTGTCAGAGAGTTATGAACCCTTAGACCCTAAAGTGCTTAAGCCTCCACAAGAATCCAGCAGTGGGCAGGCAGAGCGTAAGAACCCCGACGTCAACGACAAGTGGCTGACACGACTTCCCAACCAAGTGCTGCAACTCGGTCTGCCCTAATAGCCATCACTTGCCGTTCGCAGTTTTGCTGGGGCGGAAACCCAGAAGATTATTCCGTAATTCTGAGTATGAAACTTCATAATATCGCTTGCGCAGACAACCCTAAACCGTCGCGACCCTAAACCCTAAACCGGGTAAAGGAGTTTATGAGTCTTTGGGAATCTCTGGGAGAAGGATGTTTGCGCGTCAGGGTTCTTCGAGGCTCCGGATACTCAGGGGCTTGGACCCAAACATCATGCTATCCCTACGTGTTGCTATACCTGTAGATATGATTATGTAGATAAATACTTGACATATACATACCGAAATAAGCAGGTTCAATGGATAAGCAAACGAACAAACAATTCAACCACGATACAATCATACATGTATTTATGTGTATATACACATATATGTAGACATACACACCTGTGTGTGCATATACATATATATATATGTATACACATACATACATATAATTTTTACACACGCGCATACAGATACCTTGGCCGAAAAACATAGTTACGTACAGGAGCCCCGCCAAAGCTTTAGCATATACGGCACGGGTAGCATTATCCTTCTGATTGCCGTTTTGTGCCTATACCCCAAGGCCCCATAGTAGTTCCTTGTTGGGATTACCTTATAGAATTCTAAATATGAACCCCAAAAAGGAACTACTATGGGGCCTCAGGGTACTATGATCTACCACCCAAAACCTTAGTTCGATGTTTTAGTGTGGCTACATTGCATGGATCTTTGGGTTTGGGATGGTTTGAAGCAAAATGCAGTATGGGTCCTGACCTACAGGGAACCAATTCTTGTGGCCCAAACACCTTAAGGTAGGGAGCCGAAGGCATTGCATGTTCAACCGGCTAAAACCTCTGTGAAGCAGTCGAAGTCTCCTCCCAACCAGCGGCAATGGTCGACAGTGTCATCATGCGTTGGTGCATCGCCTGAGCGGCGGAGGCCCATGCATCTTCGTACTGGATCCGAGACTGCCGGGGCAGTGCCTTTACGGAGGAGCCTGTGAAGGCGCGATTCGCGGCCACCAGTTGCAAGGTGTAGTGCCTGCGAAGATGACTTCGCAACTTCAGGTGACACTGATTTCAGTTCCCTTTTCAAGAAGGAGTGCCTGAAGTGCATGCAGACTCTCCGCTACCATGGGCAGAAGCAGGCTGATGGCTCAACTGTCTGGAAGCCGTCGTGTGCGGATGTGCTCACGGCGATCGTGACTGCTCAGAGAGTTCTTCACGAGAAGCCACAAGCCTATCGGGTCACAAGGACCTATTGAATCAGCATAGAATGTAACATTGCTATCGTAGGAATCACCCTTTTTGCTTCGGGTATGTACCCCTCCATATTGTACTCAGAAGCCTTTGGGCTGTGGACCCTGGACCTCAAGCTGCAAACGTGAAGTCCTTGCCACCCCAACTCAACCTTAAACCCTTACCCTAAGGCTCAAAATGGCCCAAAAGCCTCACATAATATGGTCTGTAGGCCCAAAACCCTTAAAGTGGGAGTCCTTAGAGCATTAGGGTTATGGAACCGTTAAACTTTCATAAGGATGCATGAGGCTTAGGCTGTTCAGGGCTCAAGGTGGCTTTGAGTCTGTATACCTGTGGACCTCACGGCTTTGGTTTAGAGTGTAGGGACCTCTAGGAGCTAGGGTTTCTGAAGTCATGGTATCCCGACGAATACTTGCTGAAATATCCTGCAAGCTAAAGCAGCGAACTTTGATAGCATCCTACAAAGCCCTCGCGGACCCCCGGCCCGAGTTCCAGCCAACTAGGCTCTAAGCCCCAAGCCCCAAATCCCTTTAGATCCCCCTACTTGGAGGATCATGGGACTTAGTAACTAGGGTTATAATTAGGGTAACTATACTACTATACTACTTATAACCCCAGTTAGGGTGCTTATAACCTTACTTACTAAGTCCCATGATCCTCCAAGTAAGGGAGCCTTTGAGTTATTAAGTCCCATGACCCTCCAAGTATGAAGAGAGATACTAGCTTGCGAAGTTTCCCTTTATCCTCAAGCCCACGAGGGTACAGGCTTTGGGGAGCGCACTGAACGTTAAGCCTTACCCTAAGGCCCAGACTGGCCCAACAGCTTAATAAAATGGTCTATAGGAACCCTAAACCCTAACTTCTCGGGTTTCGGACGCTGTCGCAGACGGAAAAGGTCCCATAAGATAAATATACGCGCCGGTGCAATCCTCTTTGTGTGTACAGGGATCCTCACAATCGGACTTCGAGTGTTTGCAAAAATAAATGAATAACAACTTTAGGACGAACATCTACCTTTATAGACCCTAACCTTAGGGTTTAGGGTTTAGGGTAATTATATACAACTGGGGTACTTGGACCCTTAGGGGTATACTTTATATGGGGGTTTCCGAGAACATGGGACCCTTATATAGTATTCTAAATAGCAGGATCCTTATTGTAAGGACCCCAAAATAAGGTACCCCTACTTTTCGGCAACTCCCATATAGACCCCAGCCTAAACCATAAGCGAAGCCGATCCTTGAAACGGAAAGCTGTGTGTGAGCAAGGACCTCCCTGGTGAATTGCAACTTGTTTGCGTGCCATCTCCTCTTTGGTGCGTCTTAGGTTTTTGGTTTTAGGGTTTAGAATTTGGGGAAGTTCAAGCGGTTGTGAATGCTTGGGTTAGTTTTGGCGGTTCTGCGGCTTACGCCTCCGGTGTTTTATTGTTTCGGGAACTTCGAGAACTGGCCAGGGACATCTGGTGTGTTGTTGAAGAAATCTTCTCGATGCAATGAGTTACATTACTTAAACTTATATGATCGTGTGTTCCCTAAGCCCTAAACCCTAAGCCCTAAACCCTAAACCCTCAACTCTAAATCGACAACAACCTCGCATGTAGGAAACGCTTGCAGGTTCAGGGATGCTACGAGCGGGGTGGGTACTGCACGCACACGATTCTGACAAAAAGACTGCAGAGGTAATGATTATGCCTCCAGGGACCTTATTATGGGGTCCTTAAGGGGTCTAGGGCCCTAGCTATAAGGTCCTTGGAAGCATAGGGTAATGATTATGATTATATTAGATTTCAGGATTTCGGATTTTGCGTATTCAGGGTTTGGGGTTTTATCATTCGCTTTTTCCCAAAGAAGGTGATTCCCGCGACAGCCTTGAATATCTCTCTTTTCTTCTCCATGTAATTTAGTTCGTGTTCGTGACACGAGCAGCCGACCGGCAATTGCCGACTATGAATCTCGCTCAATCTTGCACCCCTTTCCAGGGGACTTAGTAAGATAGGTTATAAGTAGGGTTATAATTGGGGTAACTCCATTTAGGGTACTTATAACTCTACTTATAACCTACTTACTAAGTCCCCTGCCCTTCCAAGTGGCTCATAAACCCTGAACCATCGCCCCTAAGCCTCGGGAGCTGTGGGTTGGAAGACTTTGGCCCAAACGTACGTATACTTGGACTACTCTATGCGTGACCCTAAGGGTCCAAGGGACCCAATTATCAGGTACTCTGTTTCAGGATAGGAGTTATGTAGGTTAGGATTTCGGAGAGTGTATGATTATTAGCTACTTGGACCCATGGGGTGAGTACATGGACCCGACAGGTATACTACACCCTGCTCCTACATCCAAGCATGAAGCGGAAAGGAAGCCACCGCCCCAGGATTGGCGAGTGGACACTGCGTATCGCGGTGCAACGCCTCTTCCGAGGCACCAGCAACATCCTCTTGGACTGTAGGAGCTCACCCCAATAATTAGGTCTTCGGTTTTAGGATAGTAGTTATGTAGGTTCGGATCTTGGAGAGTATATGATTATTGGGTACTTGGACCCTTGGGGCTCAGACTTTTCAGAGCCTGAGCCAGAGGGTCCAAAGTACCTTTATGGTAGAATGTAGGGTTTCTATATTAGAAATCACTAGTATGATTTGGGGAAGTATCCCCCATAACAGTCCTGAGGACCCTTTGGGTGAATGTTCAGGGTCCCGGGTTTTCGGGGCTTTCGTGATGCAGGCGGAGTGGAGAGCTGATCCTTGAGGGTGAGGGTTGGTTGAGGGATTAAGGCCCACGGTGTTCAAAGTACCTATCTAGTAGAATGTAGGGTTTCCATAATAGATCAAAGTACCTATTTAGTAGAATGTAGGGTTCCCATAATAGGAGACGTATCCCCCAGAACAGTACCTGGGACCCTTTGGGAGGGTGATCTTGTAGGGTCTGGGAAGGATCTTCGGGCCTGGCAGGGGTTTAGGGGTTTATAGGGGTTACTTGGAAGATCATGGGACTTAGTAAGTTAGGTTATAAGTACCCTCATTGGAGTTATAAGTATATAGTTACCTTATTTATAACCCTAGATACTAAGTCCCATGATCCTCCAAGTAGGGTTTCATAGACCTCTGGTAAGTGACCCACTGCCTTACAGCATCGATGAAGGGGGTTTAGCAGTCAGAGATCTACATTATAAGTTAGAGTATTCGAAAGATACGGCTGCTGTAGGAGGAAACTTCGGTATGTACGAGAGTGTACGTTTTGTCTTGATTTCCTAGTCTTAGCTTTTGGAGGCCTAGACGAACATGTAGCTTCATTGCAAAATTGAATGCTTGCCCGGTTGTGGGATCTCGCAGTATCCCAAAGGGTCCACAACAAAGCACCAACCCGACAACCCTAAACCCAACTTTGAGGATCATGGGGCTTAATCGCTAGGGTTAAAAACAAGGTACCTATATATTTATAACTCCAATTAGGGTACTTTTAACAAATCCCATAATCCTCCAAGAAGAGTCTAAACGGCCTAAGCCCCGGAGCCAAAAAGTCAAAACACCCTAAACCCAAACCCTAAATACAAAAGTCCAAGCCAGCCCTACCCCTAAGGGTACAAAGGACGCAATAATTAGGTACTCTTTTTTAGGATAGCAGTTATGTAGGTTAGTATTTGGGAGAGTATATGATTATTAGGTACTTGGACCCTTAGGGTACAGTCTACGGCTGCCAAGCCCAGAAAGCCTACACTCAAGCCGCACCCAACATAATGCAGGAATCGCGGAGATGCTGAAATTGTTGAATTTTCCACGCCATCGAGCTGACTGGAATAAAATGCCTTGGAAGCCCAGTTGCCTATAGGAGCCCTTTTTGGATCTAGGGGGGTTCCTTGAAGGGATCTATAGGTTTAGGGCTTAGGGTTGAGGGTTTACCCTATACCCTAAGGGTCCAAGGGACCCAAGAATTACGTACTCGGTTTTAGGATAGTATAGTCATGTAGGTGAGGTTTTTGGAAAGTATATGATCATATAGGGTACTTGGACCCTTAGGGGTAACCCTAAACCCGTAACTATACAACCAAAAAGGTTAACCTTTAATTCTCCATGATACCCGACAAGTAGGATTAAGGCCCTTGTATTAGGTAACTGGGCTTCCTGGGATGGCAGTGAGTTTTCTAAGACATTTACAGGCGGGTAGTTATAAGGTGGGTAGTTTCCCATAAGCCTCCCATACCACTCCTATAAGGTACAGGGGGTCTTATGGGAGTACTATGGACGAGGAACTACCTACCTGTAAGGGGCTTCTAAGTTTGGGGTTATTCAGCAAACTTGGGTTTAGGGTTGAGGGGGATTCTGGAAATTGGAAGACGGCTGTACAGTCATTTCATATGGATGCGTTTCGCGTCAGTGCCTTACAGGGCTTTATGATTAGGCCCAAAGAATGAGGAGGGAGTTGTGAGGCATAGAAGTACAAGATAATGTTCTACAGGCGGATTGTGTGTAGTACTGGTTACCTCTGTCTATATGTCTTTATGTTTCTGACATGACAAGACCCGGTCGTGGGTTTGGGACTGAGGGTCAAGCTTAGACTCAGAGTGAACCTTTACGATTTAGGGCTTGGGGCTCACGGACTCAGAAACTAGACCCTACCTAGAGGCTCATAACCTACCCCCTTTTTGGGATACCTAGTTTTGTGGTTAGGATCTGCTGTATAGACAAGTAGATACCCCCAAAAAGGGGCAGGGTATGAGCCTACAGGTAAACCTAAAACCCGGGGTTTGGGGATATGTAGGAGCTAGCCTAACCAAGGCCGAAGCCCAACTTCTGGGCCATTAGCTCCGGTTTTGGGCCACTGTACCTTACTTCTTCCAAGGTTCGATGTACCTGTTCCTTTGTGGGACCTTTTTAGGATTCTATAAAGAGACGATAAGGGTTCAGGGTTCAAGCGGTCCATGTATCTATACACAGTATACACTTAGGCCTTAAAGTGCCCAAGCAGTCAAGAACCCTAGTCAAGGCCTACGTATATAATATGTGGGCACAGCCTTAGGGTTATGGCCTTGGCAATGGGCTTTTAAAAAGGGTTTAGGGTTTAGGGATTATAATATGGTCCGAAATTCACCAGGTCTTTGGCTAAGACTCCGAAACCTTAAATGCCATTCAACTCGAAACCCTAAACCTAAACCTACCCTGAACGGGAATATCAGTCCGTACGACCGTACCTTAGGCACAAACTCAGACAATTGCCTTTCGAAGCAGGGGCTTCTACCTAGACCCCCCAACTACCCTCTAATATGCCCCAAATACCTACAATTAAGGGCAATTAGGGCTACATTAAAGGGCCATTGGGGGTCCTGGTATACCCTAAGCCCTAAGGTCCAAAAGCCTCACGACTGAGCCCTGTGAACCTTAGGCTGGGTTCTTTGTTCATACGCATATATTAGGGACCCAAAAAGCACATAAACATAAGCATTTTATAGGGATATCCCTACCTTATTGGGCTTCAATATAAGGGGATGTATATGGCATATGGGATATCCTTATCCAGATTTTGCTTATGTGCTTTTTTGGTGCCCGACTCTAGCGACATGTACAGATACACTACTACATTTGTTGCGGATGCCGTAGTTAAGGGTACTTAATTTACCCTAAAGCCCAAGCCTTAAACTCTAAACCCCTAGTCCCGAAGAAACCTATGTAATACAATACATGCCCAGTATAGAATAGAGAATCATGGTATATAGCAACATGTAATAATATGGGGCCTTCTCACTGCCTCTGCGGCGGAGCAGAGCTCCGACTGAGTCCAGTTTGAACGAGCAGGGCACTGCGCACAAGCTGGTGTAGTTTGTGCTTCACCTGTGGTTCCAGTGGCTCATAATTTGAAGGGTTATTAACCTCAGGGTTTAGGGCTTCGGGTTTGGGGGTTTAGGGCATAGGGTTCACTGTCATAGGAGTAGACGTGTAGGCTTGAAACTTCTCCTTTTGCTGGATGTGAGGATGCAGACAGGGTTTCGGGGTTCGGGTGAGGGTGTTAGGGTGTGGTGTTAGGGACGGGGATTCAGGTTTAGGGTTTGGGCTTCGGCGTCTAGAGTCCTAATGTAGCATGTGTGCAATGCCAAGTTTTGCAAAGACGAGTGATTGTCGTTACATGCCTGAAATACAGCGCTGACCAGGTAGGTGTGGTGCCCGTGCTTGTGCACGATGAGACTCCCTACCGCAAGGGTCCATGTACCCATATAGTATGTACTTTGCGTCTGCAGTACCTATACAAGGACTACGGTAACTCCGAGGTATATACAACCCCTAAACCCTAAACCCCAAACCGAGGTATATAATGTATGAATGCATGGACCCGCAGGGAATGTGTTTACCTGCTACGCATAGACATCGCAATGGGCGATGTGAGCCTTGAGATGTGTGCGCAGCGCTTATCCGCATTTCCCCTATGTAGGGTTTAGGGTTCAGGGTTTGGCCCTAAAACAGAACCCGTCGACGTTCCTAGGCCTTGTCCGAGTTCGTTGCAACGCTTGTGCAGGACAGTCGAAAAGTCGAACTATATGTGAGCCTCACGAACAGGGGACCCTAGCCAAGCCCTCAAGTAGCTGGGGTACTACCCCTGGGCCCTAAAGTACCTATAAACGGACCACTTTGAGGCCTAAGTATATACTATATCGGCGAATGGACCCTTACACGCAAAACTCTTAGACCCGAATAGAGTCCTTGCAGAACTCCTGAAGGAACTAATAAAGGAAACCTACGGGGCCTCGCAGAGGCCAAACCTTTATTGTTCAGGGGTCCTTAAGGCATCGGTGTTTTAAGGAACTTTGCCGCATGCACCTCTTTGACATTACAAGGCGGCTGTCTGGATGTGCGCCGAGTTGGCGTCCAGGGTAAGTTTAAGGTTTCGGCTCCTAAACACTTGAACAGTTCAATCTCAGCCATGCTTAATGTACTTAGTCAACTAGTAGGTTCTCAATCTAGACATACCACAATCCTTGGTACATAATGACCGCTACAGAACCTATACTTATTCGCTTACCAGATCCTAGAAGTAGAACGTGATACTACTTTCTTCTACGCCGCCGGAGCAGCAGCAGGAGCAGGATGCATATGTGCCTCGTCTTCCTCCTCATCATCATTCCCTAAGGTACCCATATAGCATATACTTTGGGCCCAATGTACCTATATAGGGACTATACTTTAAGGCCAATATAGATACTATTAGGGTACTTGGACCCTTAGGGATTGTCAGCATAGTCATCATCATCTCAGCGCAAACTTGCGAAGAGACAGCATCACTGTCAGCATCACCCTCGGTCTTGCATTACTCGATGATGTACATCCAGGGAGTACGCCGGTCAATGCACATTTTTGCTGTAGGCCTTGGCAATGCGAAAGTTGTTGAGAGTGATTCGTGACGCGCACGCCGGGGTCCCTAGATGATTGAGGTTCAAGCCCAGCACAATTTGGGTTTGGGGCGTCAGGACTGCTAAGATTTGCGATGTTTCCAACTGCGCAGCATGCGCTTGCTATTATTGTTTCGAATGGTGCATGGACCCGAAATCAAGAGTTTGGGGTCAACATTGTATGTTCATTTAGGGTTTGGGGTTTAGGGGTTAGAGTTTCGGGTTTAGGGTCAAGGGTGCAAACTTATCAGGGCAACCCGTGCGCCCTAAACCCTTAAACGCAAAGCCCCGGTTACGATTCATCCGATTATTCTTGAAGTTGTGTACTCGGTGAGTTGAGGTTCGCATTTTGCTAACCCTAAGAACGGAGTGTGGAGGGTCTCACTGCGTCTCTTAAAAGGTTTAAAAGGTACCCCAAGGGTCCAAGTACCTAATAATCATATACTCTCCAAAATCACAACCTACAAAACTACTATCCTAAAACCGAGTACCTAATTATTGGGTCCTTTGGACTCTTGGGGGTACTGTTATGGAGATACCTCGCTAAATCAGAACAGTAACTCCTAATATGGAAACACTCCATTCTACGAGAAAAAGAGTACTTTGGAGCCCTTTGGGTTTAGAATCCTGGAGCCCTTTGGGTTTAGGGTTTACCCAAAGGCCCCAAAGTAGTTCCTTCTTGGGGGTTCATCTTTAGAATGCTAGAAGGTAATCCCAAAAAGGAATTACTTCAAGGTAATCCCAAAAAAGGAACTACTTCAAGGTAATCCCAAAAAGGAACTACTTTGGGGCCTGTGGGTAGGGGTTTAGGGTTGACCTGGTTCCCTGTTCTCTTCGCTACTACAGAAGCCTGGACGCTTCCCAACATTAGTTCTGATTGCTCAACATAAATAAAATACACAGGTATACATAATACCACCATACACAAGTAGATTATGTCACGTGTAATAAGTGTAATATGTATACCTGTTTATTTTATTTCTGTTGCACAGCCTCATTTTTAGCAACGCTAAGTAAGCCTAAGGGCAAAGAACGTACTACAAACCAGGCTCCAGTCTAAGTATGAAGGCCCCCATACCAAAACCCTAGCCTGTTGTATCGCTTTGTAGAAACCCGGGAGTTTCAGAACATTGGGGTTCCTTACAATAGGGATTCTCGTGTTCGGGCCGCTAAAGGAACCCATTACAAGGACACCTAGTCTGGGTTTTCGGTGCAAGTTTCGCCGTTGCCATCGCCCGACGAGCTAGCGGGCCTGCGAAAAGCAGGCAGTCGGCAGGTGGTCGGTGACCCATACCTTCGTTAAAGGACCCCTTATGGATCCCTTTAAAGGACCCCTTATAGATCCCTTGAAAGGACCCCCAAAACGACCTTAGACAGCCAATAGAAGGACTTGTGAATTTGTTGGCCTTATCTTCTCTAGTGCGAGCGTCTCTGGGCACCGTTATTGAGAGAGAGTGTAGGGTTCCTAGTTTTTCCTTTTCGATGCACCCCGGAGCCTCATTCTAATTGTTAAGGCACCCTCCGGATTACCGCGAAAGTGTGCATTTCAGCCTTTCTTGCGACCGAAATCAGGACAAGATGCGAAAGCCTGCAACCCCAGCCTTTCACCCAAAAGCTTGAACTTTCCCCAAGGGTCCAAAAGACCCGATAATTAGGTACCCGGGTTTAGGATAGTAGTTACGTAGGTTAGGATTTTGGGGAGTATTCGATCATTCGGTACTTGGACCCTTGGGGTTTCTACCTGAGGCTTGCAGTACATTCGCGACCCGAAGCCCGAGAGATATTCTTGACGGAGACCCTTGTTACCTTCAGCGCCGCGGCCCAAACTAGGTGTAGATGACAACGACAAGCACATCAAACTCAACCTCTCATCCCTGAGCTACTCCATGTACCTAACAACAAGGAGCTTCAAGCGACCTAGCGTCAACGAGAGCGAATTCCTGAAGGTAGTATTAGGGAGACCCCTTACAGGACCCTTCTTACCCAGAGGGTCCAAAGTACCTTTATAGAATGTGCGGTCTCTGTATTAGGAATTAGAATTTGGGGAAGTATCCCCCATAACAGTCCTTAGGACCCTTTGGGTTAACCCATCCTGGCTTCTTCAAAGCATGTCGGTTGCGACCCTTGCTGCCCGCTCTTGATTGAAAAGAATTCGTGGCCACGCATCCTGCCGTGAAGCCGAAGCTTCCGACACCGGGGTATCAGGCTTACCCGAACCCTGATCCCTAAGCCCGAAAATATGAAACCCTACCCATAGGCCCCAGAGTAGTTCTTTTTTGGCATTACCTAATAGGGTTCTACATATGAACCTGAAAAAGGAACTACTTTAGGGCCTTAGGGTAGAGCCCTACAACTCCTAAACCCTAAATCGTAAACGGTCAATCTTGCCGAAACCTTAAGTAGCTACGCGTAGTTGTTTAGCCCATTTGTCAGCGAAGCATGCTATACGGAGTAAACAGGACATGCACACGGGAAGTTACATTTAATTTCCAGCAGAACGAAAACCGAATTAGTTATTCATAAACCTTAAGGGTCCAAGTACCCAAATAGTAGGGTTTCAAGGTCCAAAAACCATTCAGGGTATGGATTTTGGGATCTAAAACCCTACTATTTGGGTACTTGGACCCGCTGGGTTCCTAAAGCCACCAGCACTCCCAGCTTCCCCCTGCTAGAGCCTCAGTAGCCACTACGGTTGATGATATAAATCCTGCATGACCCAGAATAAAGAATATACCATGATTCCCATAGTTTAAAGTCCTTAAGGTAACGCAGGATTTATATCATCAACAGTAGTGAGGACCAAAAGGCTTCTATTCAAGGGTACTTGGTACTTGGGGGGTGCTGGCATAAAGAGCCCTTGAAGAGGAGCTCAAAGGAACCTTATGGCTCAGAAGTGTATAGGTGTTTTTTAGGGTTTAGGGTTTACCGTTTCAGGGATCCTTTCAGGATTGTTAGGGTTTCAGGTTTTTGGGGTTCAGGGGAGGGGTTTAAACATAGCAGGGTGGCCTTTTTGGAGCTTCGGAAAATTGAAAATGTTGGGTCCCAATGTAGACCCCGCAAAAAGGTAGGATCCTTGACTTTAATCCCAACGACACGAGAAGCCCCTTCATGCCAAACGACCGCATGTAGGAATTAGTTTTAAATTACAGGGTTTAGGGTGTAGATCAGGATAGAGTAGCGTAGGGTTTTTTGAAATCTCTAGGTTCATGCTGTGGAGACTCCTCCAATATCTTGTCGGCAGAAACTCTCCTTGCCCAGAGGCCCCATATGTAGGACTATTATGAAATTTGGTCTCCAAAACCATGATAAGGATAGTCTATATTCTATATGGAGCCTCTGGTTTATTTGACAGGCCGACATGAACTTCGCCAAAATGAGGCAAGTGACATCAGGGGTTTGAGACCTGAACAGCTAGAAGAGCCTTTAGAACGCTTATAGAACCCCGTCAGCCCCGTAACCACCATAGAAAACCCCAAACTGCTTGGCGCACCTGGCTCGCCTGGGTTGGCAGGATTCTGTGATTCTGTGCGAGTATCCGAAAAGACCCACGCCTAGATCAGGGAAGTTTGCCGGAGACAAGTCCAAAAGCGTTTGTGCGTCTGCAGAGCTTGCTTTAATTCAGGCTGCGGCGTACTAGTTGCAAGCTACCCAGAGGCTCCATAGTAGTTCCTCTTTGGGATTACTTTATAGGATTCTAAAAATATAAACCCCAAAAAGGAACTACTATGGAGCCTATGGGTACTATCTACAGTGCCACATCGGAATTTAGGGCCTCAAAGCCATTTCCAACATGGTAGTACACGTGGACTCTCTGGGGCAGGATTCCCTTTCTGGTTACTCCTGCCACAGTTGCCGAGCCTTCAAGCCCCAAACCCGAAGCCCCAAAGCCAGAAAATGCTAAATCTCCAAGCTTAGAACGAGTACTCGAAAACATCGTGAAACCGCTTATAAACCGAAAGCCCCACAAGCACGGAACAGGACCCTCCAAGCTAGAGCATACCAGTGGTAATCAGCCGGGGCCGGGATCCAGAGAGCCTGCAACCAGTTTTTGAAGGTTCGTGACCTGCCGTGAAGAAGACATATCGTAGGGGCAATGCCTCATAGCAGAGTTCGCGAACACTCCTAAGTTTAAACCCTAAACCCTAATTTAAACATTTTTGAGACGATACGACCCCCTTAAACTACAAGTTGGAAGGCTTTGGCTCAGCATCTCATTATTCCATGGTCTACACTGAAGACACTTTGCCGAAACCCTCAGCCACCGCTATGACGGCGCGGCCTTGGCGACGACGGCCGTGGCGCAGAGTCGAGGTGGCGTCGACTTCCGATTCTTGCAATGGCTTGCTGATCTGCTTCTGTCAACAGCTAGAACGCAGACCCCAAACCCTACAAGCTAGAAGCCCTAAACCCTCCCCATAGCCTCAAGCCATACATACAAAGTAGTAGTTTAAGTAGGCCTCATGTGACTGAACTGGCAAGCCCTGAACTTGCGAAACCTGGATCAGCAACGCTTCAACTGCATCTCCAACCCTACAAGCCCAAAGCCCAAAACCCTGAAGCTTAAAAAAGGTAGTCTGAATAAGTGGCAATGCATACGCGATCTATACTTGTAATAATTGTATTGCGGTATACCCCCCAACACCCAATTCTGATTCTTGAGGCACTAAATCCTTGGCGTAACCCTCATGATAACCCCCAGAAGAACCCGATTCTACTCATTAGGGCCCTTGGTATTGGAAAACCGTACAGTAGAAGCCCAAAAGTTGGAAACCCAATAGCCTCAATCCTTAAGAGTCATGTATAAGGGATCCCAGCACTAATTTTTCCTTAATCCGGTTTCCAACTTTATGGGGTTTACTGTAAACCCTAATAGACCTTTGCTTCAGGTTCCCCTGGCCGTGGCAGCCTTCTTCGCTTCCTTGGCCTTCCTGGGTGCGGCTTAGGGCTTGCATGACCTTATAGGCTCCATGTACCCACATCGCATATACTGAAGCCTTCAAGGCGTTCCTATATATACTAGGATGCCCAGTAGTACCCTTATTCCCTTGTTGTAGTCCTAGGTTCCTTATCAAGTTACCCAATACCAAAAAGAGAGGCCTTTTTATTCTTAGGTTACTGGGTATCCTAGTATATATATATATATATATGTATATTTATATATGACTTGAAGCCAGAGCTTCGGTTTGGAAACCCCCTGAGGTTTTGCGGAATACAGTAAACTTCTGACATGCACGGAATATTTGATGCTTCCCTTTGAGGGCCATAGGATTTATCTATGAACTATATACTCCCTTTTGAAAGCATTCGGGATCTAGTTCTGGAAGAGGTTCCGAATGCTAGTTTGGGGGTTTCTTGTTGAGATCAACAGGCCTCGGAACAGGTCTGACCAGTTCCTCAGAGATTCATTTCTCCTAGGACTTACTTGAGCCACTAGGCTCAGGATCTGTCCTTCTGCATCTTCAGGCGATGCCCGCTGTCTCCATATGTAGAATCACGGCTACATTCCTTTAAGACAAAGTCTAGTATGCGATCCTTCAACATCTGCGAGAAAGACCCGAAATAGAGCTCTCGTCCATAAACAGGTACTGGCCCGATATGGGTGCCTGAATACCGACCAAAATTTGACTTAGGCTACTTGAATATGCTTCTATGTTACTGTACCGCAGAACCCTTCTCCCAAGCAGTAAGGCCCCCTGCACTTTTTAGCCCCTGCGAAGCCGTCATTGAACAAATGAACCGTTGAGGCATCAAGCAAACCCGCAAAGGAATCCTACTCTGACTATTAAGGGTTCTATGGTATACACCTCGAACCGTAAAACCCCTACAGGAAGCCGTTATAGTACCGCCATTTCCCCCTCACAAGGAGCCTTAACTATATACTATAGTTACTACACAGGTACATGGCCTCTCAAACCGTAAACCCTAAACCCTAAACCCTAAACCCTAAACCCTTAACCCTAAACCCTAAACCCTAAACCCTTAACCCTAAACCCTAAACCCTTAACCCTAAACCCTAAACCCTAAACCGTGTAAACTCCCTTAAATTAAAGCCTTCGAGGCGCCCTTGACGGGCCTATTCTGATGTCAAGGCTCCCATATATGGGTTTAGGGTTTAGGGTTTAGGGTTTAGGGTTTAGGGTCATATATGGGAGTTTTTCCAAAAATCGGGGGTACCTTATTTTAAGGTTCATATAACAAGGCAGGATCCCACTATGTAGGGCATTCCATTAGGGTGCCCTATTTTCGGAAACTCCCACATATGAGCTACCTTAAGCCGGAATAACCTACCTTTTTAAGGACTCATATAAAGAAGTCATAATAAGGAACCCCAAAAAGGTAGGTTATTCAGGATTAAGGCACAGCCTGTTCGCAGGGTCAAGTGACGGAGCATGGCATGCGCAAGCAGGGCCCGATCTTCCCCAGAGTCGAGGGCACCTTGGCAGACGGTTTAGGATCTGGGATTAAGGGTTCAGGGTTTAGGGATTCAGCGTTTTCGTTTTGTTGCTTTAAAGGGTTCCTGTTGTGGTTCGACAGGTTCTTTGATTGCAGGGGTTTGAGGGTTTAGAGGCCTCGCTAAATTAGAACAGGGTTCGGAGGCACCTATGTCGTAGAAAGTAGGATTTCTAGATGAGGAACTACCAGTTTGGTTTGTGCAAGTACCTCCCCATAAAGGTAATTAGGACCCTCTGGGGGTTATAATACAAAGGAACCGGAAGGAATAGTATTGCTAAAATTTCGGGTCTTGATCTTAGACAAGTGCACCCCTGTGCCCAAGGGGGAAAGTATGTGATTGTCCAACGGGTTGTCAGGATCCTCTGCGGTATGAGAGACGACGGCCAAGGTACCATCCGGCTTCCGACGTGGAATTTGGAACAAGGGTCTGTGTGTTTGAAGTTAACGTGCGTACAGAACTATGTGGGGTTTCCTCATTGGCTGAAGGGAGGGTCGGTTTGAGCCGGTAAAGATGTCACATTCACCTACTTTGGAGGTCGAAGCACAGCAATCTTAATTCAAACTAACACTACCAGGACCCCCCAATGGCCCTTTAATGGAGCCCTAATAGCCCTTAATGGTAGGTATTTGGGGTATATTAGAGGGTAGTTGGGGGGTCTAGGTAAGATAAAACCGAAAAACTACATAATGAAAATGTTGGCTAACGATACCTTGCAAGAAACCCTGACTCAAAGGTTCCAGAGCACCTATATAGTAGAGTGTAGGGTTTCTGTAGTAGGATTTACCATTATGATTTTGAGAGATAACAACTAAACCCTGAGCCCTAAATCCTAAACCCTAAACCCTATATGCCCTATGAAGAATAGCCTAAGAACCCTGTGATCTTAGCATCGGCGACCCTGAGGTCTGCAGGGGGATTTCTAGGCCCCTGGATCTACACGGCTCGCCTCGAGGACGACTTGGCGCTGCGCTTGGTCGCCCGGCCTAGGGTTCCTTTGGTACTTGAAGCTTTTGTCCTAAATTTCAAAGGGTCCTATGTACCGATACTGTAGAATGTAGGGTTTCCAGATTAGGAATTACTATTATGCCTCAGGGAAGTCTCCCCCCGCAACAGTACATAGGACCCTTTGGGAATACATTGAAGCTGTCTTGGTTAATGGTAGCAGGTCGAGGGCGGCCGGAATGCCAAGGCCACAGAGGTAGTATTAAAGATGTGTTTTAAGTATTCCGTGTGTTTAACCGCAGGCTCACCATTGTAAATAGACTTGGCCATTGAAGTACCCGTAGTATGAAGAAAACCGTTTATAGACGTTAAAACCCGACATGTTTAAGAGTCATCACCGTAGGGTTTTCAGTTTAGGCTTTGCACTTATGGCGTTGTTGTTATGAAAAGTGTTGTTATTCAAAACTGAAGCCGGCTTGGTCGGTGGCGCAAGTCATCTCGCAGCTGCAGCAGAAATGTCACCGACACAGTACCCATAGGCCCCAAAGTAGTTCCTTTTTGGGATTACCTTATAGGATTCAAAAAATGAACCCCAAAAAGGAGCTACTTTGGGGCCTTAGGGTAAAGACGAAGGGGAATCAGCCGGCGCAGTCGATCGGCGCCAAGAAGTGTTTAGGAGTTAGGGTTGCCCAATGCAACATCGGGATGCTCTCTGCTCCATGTGTTCGGCTGTGCCCTGCGGTTCGTTCTGCCGGGGAGCTTTGACAACTCGGTGGTCCCTAAACCCAACCTTAGTCCTGAATAACCTACCTTTTTGGGGTTCCTTATAATGATGATTTCTTTATATAAGTCCTTAAAAAGGTAAGTTATTCCGGCTTAAGGAAAACCTTAAACCCTCAACCTTAACCGATTCATGGCAAAGCTACCGGGCCTGAGGCCGCAAAACTATCGTCATGCGTCTATGCACACTTGGAGGGTCGGTGGACGTAGTAAGTAGGTAGGAAGTAGACTTATAAGTACCCTAAAAGGGACCCTAATTGGGGTTGTGGTACTTACAAGTCCTTTGAATAACCAGTTACTAAGTCCCCCGACCCTCCAAGCAGTGACAGCTCCCACCTCGGCGAGGATCCCGATATAATATTTTTTAAAAGACATGGGACCTTCCGAAACTTAGGGGTACCTTATTTGGGGTTCCTTATAATAAGGATCCTACCATTTTTAGAGTGTTGAATATCGGACCCTCTCTCTACCTTGCAATACCCAAGCCTTGAGACTTCAGGATGTTGAGCCTCTGGCGATAAGCCCTCCAGTCTTGCGCCCTAAGTCCTCAACACCTTTGAGCCGGACATGGCCAGTTCTCTAAATTCGGGTCCCCCGTAAAGGTCTTTTTAGCAAGGGTGCCATAGTTTCTTGGGACCCATGAGCTCTTAGACCTGAACCTGCAATTCGAATGTCTAGCTTAGACGATCTCAGAGAACCTCACATGCGAATCATGACACCCCTATAGGGTTTAGGGTTTCATAGGACTACTCTAGAACCCCCAGTGTCCTAAAGTCCAGCCTTAGAGACCCCTGTAAATCCCTGCAAAAACCAGTAACACCCTCTAAAGCCGTAGCTAGGACCCAGAGTAGGCCCTTATTCCCTTTTTAAGGTTTCAGGTTCCCTTACAAGCCCCTTTTAACCAAAAAGGGCACCCTTTTTATTCCTAGGTTACTCTTAGGCCTAGGTAGTGTATCCTGCAAAATGCATGTTAGCCCTAACAGAAACACTTGAAAACGAAAGGCTCCCCCTCTTTTCGAAAGCCCAGGCAGCTTATGCCTTGGATCTGGAAGCCCAAAGTGGCGGCAGAGTCGTCAGCAGCATGCCGGAAACATACGGTAAGATGGGGCTTGGGGTTTTGAGGTGCTGGGTTTCGCGCGCGCCGGGGCATGTTTATCGTCGACGTTACAGTATCTTAAAACCCTATTCCACCACTGCAAAATGCCTCGAGACTCTAAAGCCGGAAGCCAAAACCCTGAGCTCCAATTTTGCTGGTCCTAAGCCCTGAAGCTTGAAACTAAGCCTTGAACCTAGCAGATGAAGGTTCCTAGAGACCTTGAATGGGCATTGGGGTGGACATGGGTCACACAGCAAAGCATTCCTGAGGATTTCCTGAGCCCCTCACCGAGTAGTGCAGCAAGTGCCCTTTACCCGTTTTTGGGTGTAGGGTTTAGGGTGTCATCCCTCGTGTAATTCCAAAGGTTACCTTCAGTTCCCCTAGGATACTGGACAAGTAAGCTGATCATTTAAGAGTAGTAAACTTGGCAAGCAACCTTTGTCTAGTTATTCACACCTGTTGCTAGCTTCAAACCCTAAGCACTGCACCTATATGCCACCAAGGCACCACACATCATACATCAAACTCTGAACCCCAAGCCGATAATGGGTCTAGAGCCATCTCCGTGTGACCGGGATTCCAATACAATTGTTAGGTGCTGCTTGAATGTTCATTGTTCAGGCCTTTCTAGGATTTTAGCCTTTACGGTGTTGGTCTTTTGGGTCTTGTAGCCAACCTGTTTTCCCAGCGGCAGGTAATCGTGGGGGCTGGCAAAGTCCTGTTCTCAGCTAGCGCTTTCCCTCTGCAGGCATGTGCATGCTTGTCTGAAGTTTATAACCCTCAGGGTTCTTGCTCTTTTCAGCTGTACACTCCATAGATAATATCACAGGTCAACCCGTAGTTCCGCTAGGACCTGCTAGGATACTGGACAACTAGTATTATTTCAGCATTTGAACACTTACCGCCTGGGGTCTGGTTTCTGTTGCGGGATTCAGACGGTGTGGTCCCGCGTTGAGGCTGGAATCGTGGTCACCTAGCCTTCCAAAGTCTCTTTGTTACGGAGAATACATCAAATCTTTTTGATTAGGGGCCCTACTAGGACTTATAAGGTATATTCTGTGATTTGGCCTTGGACGGAGTCCTTCTTGGCCTTTTTTGCAATGCATGTAGCTGCAGTACTACATGGGCACATGGACCGTCAGGATCGATTTTTTTCCGCATGAGAGGCGGTGATACTTTCCCTATGAGATCGTTGACAAAGGAGAGGCGAAGAAGGCCTCAGGCTTAGGAGCAGATGCTTATAATCCACCGACAAGCTGCACAGTTGCGAAGCCTTGCGTAATGCTGAATGCATCCCATAGGGCCCCAAAAAAGCACAATCAGCAAAAATTAGGATAGGGATATCCCATATAGATCCCCTCATGATGAAGCCCAATAGGGTAGGGATATCCCCATAAAATGCTTATGCTTATGTGCTCTTTGGGTCCCTAATCCCTTGTCCCTTCAAGACAGCCTGAGATGCCCAGGTCTGGATCTTGTCGGACAGCAACATGCGACTCGACTCCGCAGTAATTTTTGAGGGGTCGGAATATCATTATTCCGGGGTTCCGTATATGTAGTATCTATATGGTGGCATACTCCCAGGGCCTATGGTATTTATGAAGGTTCCTATATTCGGAGCAGGCAGCGAAATTTCTACCTGACATGGGCTCTGATTTGTAGCAGGCACATATTTGCAGGCTTCTTCATTGTGTCACCGTTCGCCGCACGAAGCTTCAACCCGCGATGCCCGAGCGCCAAAGTTCCGGATCCTGAAGATGATAGCTTTTCAAGGCACTGTCCCGCACATGGGTCACCGACCATATGAGGGCACCCTGACCCCAAAAACAGATGCAGCTCCCTGCGTTGCCCATGAGGCTTACAGTGCAGGGTTCATGCAGTATTCAGGGTTTCTTTTGAAGGTTTCTTCGAGAGTTCTTATGGTAAAGGCTCCTCGCATGCAAGGGTTTACTAGGCCAGATTGTGCTGAGGGTGCAGGCATTGAGGTTTATTTAGCGGCTTAGCTAAACCCTAAACCCTAAACCAAAAACTTCCTAAACCCCTAAACCCTAACCTGCTTGAGGTACGGGGTCTGCAGGGTGCAGTGCTCAAGTTTCCAGACTGTTTTGTTTCGGTTGCAGCACAAGCCTGAATACTATACTAGGATCTGTGCATAGTCCCTATATGGTGATGCTGCATACGACGTACCCCAAAAGACTAACCTTGTGCTAACCATGCAGGCTACGATGTGAAACACATCCCTGGAGTCTTTCCCTAAGGCTATTTAAGGACTCACATTTTAAGGCTTTTGGGCCTAAAGACCCTATTATAGAAGGCTTTTGGGCCATTTTGAGCCTTAGGGTTCAGACCTGTTTGCCGAAGCCCCAAATGGGAGGTTCGGCTCTGGAACTGCTGGGTCCCTGAGGAGGTGTCCCTCTAACACGGCCCCTACTTTTAGTAATTACTACTTCTGGTTGAGGGCCTTTAGGGTTTGGGACTTGGGGTTTCAAGAAGTCTATCAGGGTTTAGGGCTTAGGGTTTAGGGTTGAGGCTGGTCTCTTGGATCCGCGATCATGTCGCTTGTCGGCGGGGCAGCAGCGAACACATGCGTTGGCACGGCAAGTTGCGGCATGACCTCATGCTGGCTGAAATCACGGCCGACAATGATAAGGGTCAGCGCACAAGTAGGCAGCAAGCCTGGCGGCAAGTTGCTGACAAAGACTCAAGCAAGAGCAGTGTCCCTCGCAGCTTAACCTTGGAGTCGGGACAGGTGGCAGCCATGCTGGTGGATGACAGTTGGGTGCCAGCGGTCATTTTGACCATGTGGCGGGTCTTCAAGAAGGGTTCCGGAGCGTTGCGACATTGGGCAGTGCGCCTCGTGGTGTCCTGCACAGCGTACGTGCCGTCCTGCTTGAGTCAGCACAAAGCAATGAGGAGTTCAGGTGCCAGTCGGACAGTCGCTTCGCCATTGTCCGAGTGACCCCAGACACCGTCGGGCCTTTGTTGGCGACTTCACACTTCGCGCAAGGCTGCGATGGTATCTCCGTGATCCTGACAGTTGAGAGCCTGGAGTAGCGCCGGTCGCGACACCCAGGGCATCAGAAACCTTGTCCCTATTGCTAGCTTCGGCTTCAGGGGGCCCTAGTAGCAGCAGCAGCGGTATTAGCAGCAACGTACGCGGTAGCCGCGACTTTGAAGGTCCTTGACTCGCCCTTGAACCTCAAACACAAGCCCCAAGCAAGGATGCACTGGTACACCTGGTGGCTGCTACACAGAGCCATTTCGCCCGCTTCGTGCATGGCCTCAACCAAGGCCAGGGTCATCCCAGGGCTTCCACCAAAAAGCCTCTTTGGGGCCACCTCTAGCGCCAAAGTACAGCTTAGTTATATGGGAGTTTCCGAAAATAGGGGACCCAAATATACTACTAAAAAGTAGGATCCTTGCTACAAGGATCCCAAAATCAGGTACCCCTAAATTTCGGAAACTCCCATATACATTCACCTGAAAAGTGGTTCTGATTTAGCTGCTTGCGGCTATAGGTATTTGGAGGTTTCCAAAACCAGGGGAATTCCGCAACTAAGGTTATAGACTTACTTGGACCCTTTGAACTTTGGGCCCTTTGGGCTGGCATACGGCAGCTCCCAAAGGCTTCAGCAGAACGTTGGAAAGAGAGCCATTTCTGTAACCTACCCTTGGTTAGTAGGGAATGGAGGAATGGGGTACAATTATAACTACTATTACTACCATTCTTCCATTCCCTACTAACCAAAGGTAAGGGAACCCTTAAAGTATCCAGTTCCCAGGCTGAAATGCTGGCCCGATCTGGCGAGCCCTCCTGTAGGTGAATTTCGTCGAAACCTTGTGCGAAACGAGAATAAACCTCACAAGAGAGAGAGACCTTATTTTGGGGGTCCTTATAATAAGGATCGTACTATTTAGGGTACTACATTAGGGTCCCCTATTTTCGGAAACTCCCAGATGTACTGGTGTTGGGTCACCAAGGTGATTCCGAATTCCGAGGCCGTGAGCCCCTGTAGACCCATGTGTACTACCTACACCCTGTCTTCTAAAGCCTACCCTGAGGCTCCTGGACCCTCGTAGTGAGATCCCAAACCTTAACCCCCCAAACCAAACTCTCCCCCAGAAAGCCTATGACCCCTTTGGGAGCCTTAGGGTATACAGCCGAAGCCATACACCTTGCCTGGAACCTGGACCCCTTTCAGCAAGAGGCTTTTATGCGTATTGGGCCAATGTGTGCTCTGCCTTTTTGGTGGTTCAGGGAAGCCGGATGCTGTAAAGCCCCCCTAGCCCCTAAACCCCTAAACCCTAAACCCCTAAACCCTAAACGACTTAACCCTAAACCCCTAAAGCCTAAAATCCTCAACCCTAAAGCACCCCTAAACCCCTAAACCCTAAACCCCACAAACCTTATCCCCGAAACCCCTAAAGCCTAAACCCCTTAATTCTAAAACCTCAACCCTAAACCCTAAATCCGACATCCAGGCAGCGCCCCTCAAGCACTGGGGGCAGCTGATTTGGCCGTTCACGGTGTAGCGGACCAGCTGTGGGTCGCCTGCCGATACGGCTTTCCGAAGTGTTGACGGGCTACAGCGTTTAGGGTTTCGGGATATCATGTGTTAAATGTACCCTATAAGCCTATAAGGGTCCAGGTACCTTTGGCCTTTCGTGTAGTCCCTATTTAGGTACTTTGGAGCCAAAGTATATTCTATTTGGGCACATGGATCCATAGGGGTATGCGCAAGAACATAGACTGAAGCCCGATCTCTTATAACTTCGATAGTGAACGGGGGAACTTTAAACTTTTTGGCCTTATATATATATATATATATATATATTGGCTCTATCTTAGGAAGTTTTGAACTTTTTGTGGCCCGGTTGTTGAAGAAGAGAGCTTATGTCTGAGTGAGGATGTATGCTTAGGGTGTTTACTATACATCTAATTTCATAATATGTGTTGCCCTAAGTCTCCGCGGACCTGAATTTCCCTAAGGCCGCATGTGCCCATAGGGTATAATCTATTTACGCCTGATAGACGGGGTTCCTATATAGGTACTTGAAGGCTTAAAAGTACATTACATGGATGCATGGAGCATTTGGGTTTACGTCGTCATACTTTACAAAGCAAAGGAACCTGCAGGCATCAACGGCCCAACGTATGATGTTGAAATTTGGGTTCAGGGTTTAAGGTTTAGGATATATAGGGTTAAGGGTTTAAGGTCTAGGATTTGAAGTGTTCAGTGTTTAAGGTCAAGCATGTATAGGGCTTAGGGTTTAGGGCAGAGGATTTATCGGGTTTAAGGTCTAGGATTCATAGAGTTTGGGGTTTAAGGTTTAGGATTTAGGATTGCGCTAATTATCACATTAAGGGAAGAATTTTCGGGAGTACGTGATTGTCAGGTACGTGGAAGTTGAGCCACGTGTACAGAACAAAGCCCTATAAACCCTACTGTAAGCCATTCTAACCTAAGCCCTAAACCCGCATTGCACAATCCCTAGTAGCCCAACAGCAGAAACCATTGCTTTTTCGCCTTGGCACATGGGTCAAACGTGAAGACGAGGTGTTCCTCGTGAGAGGTTCTCATGGTGACTCATCAGCAGGAAAAAGGTAACCTGAGGCATGACATGCTACACACTTAGCCGTAACCCGCATGCTTCACTAAGGCTGTTTCCGAACGACTGATGAAGATAATGCATGCTCTCATGCTAGAAGTATGAGGGTTGCGGCTCAGAGCTTCTTTTGCCAGGAAAACAATCTTTGGAATACATGGTTAAATAGTGCCGAAGTGCCGGTTCTGATAAGGTGAGTTTGGCATGGGTTCTGCTGAAACCCAAACCCAGGCTCAGTTGTAATATCAGTGGCTTCTGGTGATGGTGCAATGGCTTTGTTTACAGAGGGAGCAGTTAGCACCTGCCTTCGCACGAGGCGAATATCAATCGCCCTGGCGACTTCAACGAGCGCCACGACCATGGCTCCTCCAGTGCGTCTTTGGTAGCTTCAGGCGGGTTCGCGAAATCGTGAACTTGGGGGGTGACGGTTTCAGCTGTCTGGTTTAATTACCCCTCAGGGTTTGTATTGCAGCCTATGTATATATATATATATACGTATATACATATACTTATGTATACACTCACACCCTAGGATTAGGCCGCAGAACACCGTGCGAGCGGCACAGGACCGTGGTTCTCTACATCGTTGCAGGAGTGTTTCTAGTGTTTTCTGTTGGCTTGATTCCAGCTTTCCAGTCACGTTATCCCTAAGGCTTAAACCCGAAACTAGACCCTAAACCCTAAACCCTAAACCCCTAAACCCTAAACCCTAAACCCTAAACCCTAAACCCTAAGCCCTAAGCCCCAAGCCCTGAACTAGACCCTGAAACGCAAACCCGACTCGCAGGCTCAGTAGACTTAATGACCAGTTTGCAACGGTTGATGATATAAATCCTGCATTACCTTAAGGACCCTAAACTATGGGAATTATGGTATATTCCATATTATGGGTCATGCAGGATTTATATCATCAACCGAAGAGCCCTAAGCCTCCACATAGCCCAAAGCACAGTGCTCTAAGGGTCCAAGTACCCAAATGGTAGGGTCTCAGGGTCCCAAAAACCATTCAGGGTATGGGGGACTTAAATCTTACTATTTGGGTACTTGGACCCTCTGGGGTACTCTCTAGTGGCACTTGGAGTTTTAGGGGAAAGGTTTATGGTAGAGGGTCGAGGCAAGCGTACGCTGAAGCAGACTAGTGGGTTCAGGATTGGAGACCTCTTGGTTGGCGTTGCAAAGTGTGTCGAGGTGCTGAGTGTCGGGTTTGGGGCTTTAGGATTTGGGCATGATCATGTAGGGTTAGGGTTTAGTATACAGGGTTTAAGGGTTTCGGGGCCGCTGCTGCTCAGACTCGTACATAGTGTGTAGATTAGGAGTTTTCGGCCTGCAGGGTACACGGTTTTGAGCCCTGCAACCTTGCCATACTCAATGCTAAGACTGCAAGTCTACAACTATTACCTACTTTGGCCTCTGCAGACTAAATAGTGCCTACTCCCTGCTTTGGGATAAAATACCACTACCTACTCTGGCACTTAAGGTCTAAATAGTACATACTTTGGGATATTTGAAGTCTGAGGGAAACGGTTTACCCATGTTGGGCCAGTGGTTTCAGCAAGGCAGCTGTTCGCCCTCTTGACAAGGGTTAGGTTCTCGCTGCTAGGGGTCAGGATTTAGGATTTGTGAGGTTTAGGTTTTAGTTCTGAGGGTCTGGGGTGTGCCCCTAAATCCGAAATCCTCAACCCTAAACCCAGGGTGTTCCATGCATTCTTGTGCAGTTGAGGCTTGAGGCCTTACTAATGCCCAGAGACTCTAAACCCCCTTAATTAAGGAATATACTTTAAATCATAATAAGATCCCTAATATGATTTAAGGTATATTCCTTAATTAAGGGGTTTTGGAGTCTCTGGGTGTTTTGACACCACACCCAGAACCTAAGGATCCATGTACCCATATTATCAGGGTGCCTTCTGAGGGGATCCTTTAAGAGTTCCCCTAAGGGGTACCATGAGGGTTTAGGCTTAGTGTTTATGGCAATTATTATAAGGGTCCATGTAAGTATACACTTTGGCCGTAAAGTACCTTTGTAGGAACCCCTTTTGAGGCCTAAGTAAAGACCATGCATTGGCAAAAATCATCGGAGGCGTGCTCTACGCAACAGCCTCGTCTTCACCATTAAGGCTTTTCACGTACGAGGCCGAAGCACCTGCTTGGTGAAGTTCTGCAGATGAAAAGTATAAACATGACGTCTGAATCCTTTTCTTCAATCTTACCCACCACCCCAAACTAAAACCTATTTATAAGCCCTAAACCCTGGCAGTAAACGATGACTCCGGGCATCTAGTCTTCACCAACACCCCAAGCTAACACCTAAGCCCTAAACTTTGGCAGTAATCGATGAATTCGGGCAGCTAGTCTAGAACGGTGGACCAACGCGGCACTACAGGGCCGATCAGCCTCACCTCATACCCCAAGGGTGCAAAGGACCCAATAATTAGGTACTCGGCTTTAGGATAGTAGCAATGTAGCTTCGGATTTGGGAGGGTATATGATCATTAAGCACTTGGACCCTTAGGGACAGATCTCCTACCCGGCAGTGTTCAGTGTGCCTTGATGCGCATCATATCGCTGTCATTGTACCCAGAGGGTCCGTAGACATAAATTACCGTTATGGAATTAGGTCCCAAGATACTATACCAAGACTGGTTTCGGGGGACCTAGTTCCATGATAGCAGTAATGTAGATGGACCCTCGTGGGTAATTGTTGCAAGAGTCTGCGCCCGCCATCACCCTAGGACCCATTTGGATTCGGATCTGCTCATGCGGAACAGTGGCCCTTTCGGTTTAAGGACCACCCCACCCGCCATATATATCTATATATCTATATATCTATATATCTATATATATATATATATAGATATGCCCAGTGACTTTTCGTACCGGTTGACCTTTTGACAGTAAGATGGTTAGATGTTAGATGCTTGTTGTCCGCACGCCTACGTTCCTAAACTGGGCCTACGCCCACAATCTTCAATTTTGAAGCCGAAGGCTCCATGTAACTTTATCTTAGATACTTACACCTCAAAGGGGTCTCTATATAGGTACGTACTTAAGGCCTAAGTATATACTGTTTGGGCCATTTTGAGCCTTAAAAGAAGCCTGGCAGGACGAGGTCGTGGAGATCTCGCCCGAGCTTGGAACTTTGGTGTTGTTCCCACCTGATATGGAAACTTGACCTGCGCTGCAGCCGTGGTTCAGGAATCGAGATGTTCTCGTAATTTCGGGTATAGGGCAGTTTCGTAGGTACTAGTCGGACAGCCCAATTCCGGGAGTTTACGACTTCTAAGGGTCTATAGAGGGTTTATTAAGCATGATTAGGACAAGCCCATCTAAAGCATTTGTGTGACTGCATAGCAATTCCTGGGCCTCCACCTGCAAATAGCTGATACCTGCCAGGTGCCGATGCCGAGGTCCCAGTGACACTGCTATTCTAGTACCCGCCTTGACCAGCCCATGAAATATTGTGAGCTGGGCCATAGGGTTTAGGGTGCGGATTCTACGATAGACTTACCGAACAAGGTGCGGCTGAGTGCCCCACTTGAACCCTGAACATCTACCAACGAATGCTCAATTGAGGAACATGAAGTGGTCCCTGTTGGCAGCGGCGAAGTGCAGCGGATCTCGCAGCCCAGTCTGCATAGTCAGACTGTGTAGGGTTTCAGGACCAAGTTGAGGAACACCCTGCCCTAAACCCCAACTCCCTCAATCCTCCGTAACCCCCAATGTCAGGGTTCGTAAGTTCAGGATCTCCGGTTTTGGACACCTGCCTTACCTGGGCCGAGGAAACAGAACTCCCCCATCAGCGGCCACTGCAAACCCAGCTGGATAAATTCCTGGATGACCATGCAAAGTTTTCGATGTACTATGACAACCCCCTTGCGGCTAGGCATTCCGGAAAAAGTTTTGTCTGGGTGGTGGCTAAGCCTGAAGCCTAACCCCAGAGTCCTAAGCATTTTGGAGATCGATTTGTTGCTAACCCTAAACCCTAAACCCTAAACCCTAAAACCCTAAACCCTAAACCCTAAACCGTGGCTCTGTTCCTCCCCGGGGTTCCTCAACAACAGTCTAAGCGTCTAACATACCCAAGAACCCCGATGATTCTGATCGTTGGGACCACTCTTTCTCCACATTACTCGCCCATATTGGGACCCTACCGAACCTACCGGTTTCGGCTTGGCTGCCCTGCTCTTACAGGTCATGTACGAAACAGAGTAGGTTCTGTAGGATACAGGTACCGCTAAATCCTAAAGCTGTAACCTGTCCAGAACCCTAAGCTCTGAACGTTCCAACCCTCGCCGAAAGCCTTGTCGAGGTTTGCCTTCAACCTGCGCGTTCGTTGGCTGCCCAGCCCCTGGCACCGTGCTGCCTGCGGTCTGAAGGAGGTGTGATATACCTGTGTGTTGCAGGGGTTTTCAATTGCTTTGCCCAGACTGATGCGGGTTAAGTATATGTTGGTCAATTTTCTGGAATATGCTTTGCTCCTGTGTACGTTACGCAGACTACGGCTGTGTGGTTTGAGGATTACAAAATCAAGAAGCGCCAAAAAAGACCACATAAGCACCACAATCTCTCACCTTTAAGCTTTTCTGCGTCGGAGTTATAGTGCTCCTTACTCTCCCGAATGTTGGATCCTTATGCTCGCATGGTTTTCTTAAGGACTAGCAGGAAAGATGGAGCTCTTGGACGCTTGGTTTTGGCGGGTGGTTGGAGGCTTGCGGCAGCGGTAAAAGCGTTTGTAGGGGTCACGTGCTTTGGATTTGACAGTATGCTAGTGATGGTTAGCAATGGGCTCGGGTGAGGATTTGGTCGGTGGTTGGTGTGAGGGCTATATGGGTTGGCTTCCTTGGACAGCTTGAGACCTTTGGGAAAAACGGCTTGGCTTATGGAGAGTAAGGAAGCAGTTTGGCACCTGGTCAGGTTTATTGCGGAGTGATGTTTGTAGTTTAAGATTGCCTCGGTGCTCATGACACGGCTTTATGAGGTTATCAACTTGGGGATATTGGTTGAGAACGGTGTATCAGCATCTTTGGGCTGCCGTCATTCCAGTTCAGCTTTCGACGAGAGTTATACAGGTTGATTCGACGGCTATGACTTGGTGTTTAGGGTTTATAGGGTTTATAGGGCTTAGGGTTTAGGGGCCACTTGGGCTCTACCTTAGCTTACCTTGGCTGGGTTAGAGGTCGGAAAAGGACCTTTTCGTAAAAAATAGCAAAACGCCGGGGTCGTTTTCTGACCCCAAACCCCTTGGTGCTGGTTGTATCATGTTAGTGTACTTGATGCGGTCTTTGGTAATTGTCTCCTCGAAGCAGACTGTGTAATCATTGACTTTTTGTTGGGGTACTTTCCTCCCTTTGGTTGACATTTAGTTCCCCATTATGCAGAACAAGTAGGAGCTGCATGGGCTGTATTGATGAAGAGGCTGGTCGATAGATGCATCTACACTTTATTATAACTTCTGGCTGCACTCTGAATTGACCGTTGCCAGCTGATAATACCTTATAGTACCGCAATGTGTCTTATCGGATTTGAAAATATTCTACTGTCTAACCCTGCCAAATCCGACCACCTTGTGGGCAGGTCACTCTCGAAGGCGCTGCCGATGCCGTCGATCCAGTCTTAGGCCACGTGCCGGCATTGTTGTTGGGGAGCTTGATAAAGCGCCGTTAGAGTGAAAATGGTACGGGTTCTTTAAAGGATTATAGTATAGAATGCCATAGTAGGGTCTCTTTAAGGGAAGCCTGGGAAGAACCCTCAACAGCAACCCATGAAAGCGAACCCTTAGCCAAGGAACACGTAAAGGGTGTAGGATCACGGCTTTTTTGTCACTGAGGCTATTGTGTGTAGGTTTTTCTGGAGGAGGTCAACAGTTTATGTCAGCCGACTAGAAGCAAGACTGCATTGCTAACAAGTCCACTTAGCGTTCTGAATAATTAAGTTCCATGGTTCCACCAAGTGGTTTTGAGGGCTCAGGGAATTGAGGATTCAGGACCTAGGTTTTTAGGGTTGTTTGCCGGGTTTCATCTTTGCTAGTCCATGGCCTTTTTGGATTATGAGCTTTTGCGGCGCAGTGTTCAGTATGCAAGGCTTGAGGTTTGAAGTGTTAGGTTTCTCGGATAAGGGACTACCGTTATGGCGTTCGGACCACTTGGTATTTACCAGTATCCTTTGATAATCCGTATCCCCAAATCCGTTACTGAAGTGCATAAGAGCCCCCCTTGATAATCCAATGTAGGACACCTACAAGCTCTATTCTAATCATCTAGGCTACCCTAAACCCCAGACAGCATTCGGCTCTAATGTTTAATCCTAGTTTTCGCATGTGCCCAAATAGTATATACTTTGGCCCAGTATCTTAATGTACCTATATAGGAACTACTTCAAAGCCAGGGTATAGCACATGGACCCTCCAGGAAAGAGAGCAATGATGGCACCTGCGAGACTCGATGGGCGGCCATGCAAGCACGCAAGAAGGTTATTATTATTATTACTATTAGTATTATTACTATTATTACTACTATCACTATTATTACTATTATTACTATTATTACTTTCATCAGTATTATTACTATTTTACTATTGCTGCATTGGCAGAGCGTGCCAGAGGCAGCGGAGGAGACCCCACCTTTCGTTGAGCCTGCCAGGCACGAGCCCAGGGGGTCCAAGTACCCAAATAATGGGGTTTTAGATGCCAAAATCCATACCCTGAGTGGTTTTTGGAGCTTGAAACCCTACTATTTGGGTACTTGGACCCTTAGGGGAGTGGACCCAAATTGTAATAGTGGCTT